GCGTGGCTCAGTCTTGCACATCCGTTTACTTCGCAAATCGTTTGCAATGGACTCGGAAGACGATTCAGACATCTTTATRACTCCTTCGACTTTTAGAAGTCCACWAGGTCAAGATCCTAATTTCAATATTGAATCGTTTTTCGGGCATGAATTGCTAAGTGAGCCAAATTCCTTTATCGCATCACCAAATGAAGTACCTGCAGAATCTTCTACTGAGAGTCGGTCTGCCGAGCCTTTGTCACACGAAAATGGTAAAGACTAAATTGCTAAATGCGTTCCAAAGAACACTACCTATAAAGATAATTGGGAAGTCAATCTGTTCGAAACATGGAGACAGGAAAGAAACAGGAAAGTCAACTCACTAGAAAAGATGACCGACGAAGAATTAAATCAAACCTTGGCCTTATTCATTTGCAAAGTGCGAAAGACAACTTTGTATTAAAGTGATTGAGCTAACGAATTAAAACTGCAGAATGCAATCCTCTCCTTGGCATCAGTGATCTCCAGGTACCAGGTTTTGAAAATCGATTTCAAGACTTGTTTCAGGTCTTGATTTTTATTTTCAAGACCTGGTTCAAGCTTTAGTCAGCCCCAATCTCCMCTGATGATAAKMAATGCCGMCCCCAGCTTTTAGAATGCGGGTTTTACCTAAAATACCAAAACCGATTGAAAACAATAGAAAATGGGTGTGGTAGGTCAGTAAACGGCGCTAAAGAGATTCTCCTTCATATCTTCATACTTTAGAAACAAAATATTTGGGTCTTCTTGATGACTATACCCCCAATCACATGATCAAACCAACTTCCATCAATTACTTTGCCTTCGAGAAACATCTCAAAGAATTCATCCCAAGAGCGATTGAATTTGTAGTCTTCAAGGCCTTTATAATGCCAGTAATAAGAGACGGCAACGTCCTTGGGATTCCGAATAACATATATTATCTTACTTAGTCTTAGGTTTGGTTTTACCGTCTCCAAGAGGCATTCGGTGATAGGGTAAATAGACCATTTTCAACATCGATATTTAGTTTAGAAATATATGAATATATAAATAAACGACCTTAAAAGGTACGCATAAATTAATTCAGGCATCGATTCCAGACCCTAAAAGGTACGACCATTTTTGACGTCTTTAACAAGAGAAAAGCTCTTTTAACAAACTGTAGAAAATCAATGTCGATAGATTGTTGAGGTTAATAAAATCTATTTCTTTATTAATTTCTTTATCCGTTCTTCGAAACTTGACTCTAAAAGGTACGGAGCCAGCTTAGGACCCTAAACGGTACGCGAGGGTTTTATTTTCGACACTAAAAGGTCCGTTGAGCATACCTACCATGTTTTATAGGGAAGTTCCCTCCCCCCGGGAGCCAGAATCCTTAGAAGCTCACATATATTTTGGAAAGAAAATGCCATCTGCATGGCTAGCTATAATGGATGCAACGAATTCACCTGTTAGTATAGCTGTTTGCAGGAGCCCATTACTAGGAGTTAAGTAATAAGCTCCTGCAGTGCTTGCCAATTCCAATAATTCGACCAGCGCCGAAGAAACAGGTCACTTTCAAACACCGCTGGAAGCGGAAGAAGGCTAGTTACAGCGTTTTCATCTTTTTTCCTGACTACCTCTGGCACGAGGGCACAGAGCTCGCTTTTCGTGGTTTAATCAGGACTTCAATTCCGATAAAACTATGTCTAAAAACGCGGTAAAAACTATGTCAAAAGGATCATAATTTCTGCATATTGCTATATCTACCTATAACTATTATATATTGTTTTGTCATATGTTTATTATAGTGATCATATACAGCCTTTTGCACAAATTATGAGACATTTTTATATATATAAATATACCTAACCAAATATCAAAAACACCCAAGAAATTATGGGATACCGTCGCTGATATTTTGTCTGTAACAACCTGATGCTAGGCAATCATGACAAAATATAATAGAGATATACCATAATTTCTGGGGTGTTTTTGATATTTGGTTAGGTATATTTATATATATAAAAATGTCTCATAATTTGTGCAAAAGGCTGTAATGGCTTTACATATCATATAACTACTATGGTAACTCCGATAATTATCATTCTAAGCAAAACGTAGAAGTCTCTGGATCAAAGCCTTGTTCAATGCAGCTTGAGGTCATCATATTCTCCTGGGACAGGGAGCCCGCCATTCCCGGGGTGCGAGGACACTATTGGTCATCATAGTTTAGGTTTCATTGTGACGAAGTCAAAATTGAAGAGATCAGCCTGGAAGAGAATAAATTAAAGATGTCACAACCCTGGCATGATTAGGATGACCACGGTTCAATACTCCGATTTCGATTTCTTGTTTGCTCTGTGTTAGCCTCAAAACCAAGCAACATATTCTTTTGTTTCATTGATAGCCCGAGAAAACGCATGGAATTTGAAAAGAAAGACAATAGAATTGATTTGAAATCTCACACTTTTATTCTCACAATTAGGAATATTTGCGCGCAAATGAGGCTAACACAGAGCATTGGAGAATTCGAAACTGGATTATTGCGACAGTTTACATCAAGTTTAATCATCAACAAAACAACAAAACGTTCAATATAACTCACCATTCCAACATGGCTATCAGGAAATTTATATTGACTCCAGTGAAATGGTGGTAGGCCCTGAAAATATACACAGAATTGTCTCTATAATTGTAGAATATGGTGGGAGGGGGGTGATTGTGTCTCTAACGCGCCCATGATTCACCGTACCTGAGCAGTTGGCCCACTTATAGACGATGAAACAAGAGATTGTGCCATGAAATAATCTGTTACCTGTGACAAGACAAGCATCAATCAGTCATTATATTGTCTGTCTGTCCAAGTATTGAAATGAATAGAAACTAACCTTTGCGTCATAGCAACCATCCGCTGAAGGGTTCGTTGAATCCAAATCACCGCGGGCGCAGATCGCATTGTCAGGGTTATTGAAGGCATATGGATCATGCTTGTAATCTTAATGATATCAAAGAGCAAACGAAGGAAAACCATGAAATATAATCAAACTAAATACTAACAAATAGCGGCTATTTAGAGACAATTTGTCAGTATAATGAACCAGAACCCAATCAAGATGAATTAAAAATGGTCCCATGTGGATTCATCTTCATTGCGTTCTGGTTCATTGATACTGACAAAGTGTCTCTAGATCGCCGCTAATTGTTAGTATTCAGTTTGATTTTATTTCATGGTTTTCCTGCGTTTGCACAAGTGTCTATTAACTTTTCTCAAGTTTCTGGGCATTTTATCTCCACGCAGAAAAAAAACAAAGGTGGAACAAACAAAAAAGGCAAAAACGTAACGGTGTTATAATTCATTGCGCTCCGCTTCCTAATAGTTACAAATCAGATCTGAACATAAAGGAACACAAGGGTGGAGTAGAGCAAGAGAATTAAGCTTGCCTGCTGTACTATCAAAGAAGTTCAAAGAACACTGAGCTTGTGTTCTTCCTATCGGTAGGCATTTATTCAATAATGGTATCTTACCATTGTATCTCATAATGTATTTCATCGTGTCCATATCATGAACCTACAGATAGTAAAGATAGTCAGACCACCGTACAAAGATCAACAAGGCTTTTTTCAAGGTTCAAGTCTATGCCGCCAAAAGGAGTCATACCTATATGGACCATACCCATATGGAAAGATATGCAGTTGAAGTCAAAAAGGGAAATGATCAACATTTCCAACACCGCAATGATGGATCAAGGATTTCCTCAATCGTGACGCATCAGAAGTACATAACCAGTGATTTTGTACTTCTGGACGCATGAAATATAAAGAGAAACTAATCTGAAAGTGGGGTTGGTTTGTCCCTGAAAAGTCCGCCTGGATTAAAATCTTTAATGTCATAAGATATAGCCTTATTTTATTGGCGCAACGATGCAATGATTATAATAGTCAAATCATGTAATCTGCTCGACTCTGTGGCTACTATCTTTTTGTATCCGCACTACTGAATTTACGCAATATGTTGAACGTACGATAGTTACGTACCGTGGCTTGATCTCGACGGAAAATCTTGGCACGTGGTGCAAGCTGATATGAAAATGATTCTCCATGTTTCTCAACAAACTGTGGATAGCCACTCATGTTGTACACCTGATTGACCAGAAGAAATATGAGTGTTAACTAGTTTTTGAGCTGCTTCCTATAACGTCGGAAACGTCCGTTTTATCATATAAACTGTTCTTTGTTTTGCTACCTTTTCATAAAACGGTACGTTATAGGATGGCCAGTATCCCAACCTCAATAACGCAGTCTGATCGCCGCTAGCAACGTATCTGGAATAAAATGTCACAGTTTACTTTGTAAGAATGAAACGCAAAGTCTAGTACGCGAAAGGTATATACACCACGATCACTGACAACGTTACGAAAGGAGATGTTTCCTACGCAAACTGAAAGATACAAAGACATCGCTAATAGTGCAGCTTTAATGTCGAAGTTTACAAACGTAGCTTACGCAGAAGTACCGCGTTGCATAGGACTTGCAGACAAATGACAATAAAAACACTTATGGAACTTTCACGTAAATTACTTACGTAGGAATCTGTTCAACGACCCAGAGTGCGCCATCGTGTAACGTTTTGTTCAGTTCAACGCGTTTTAAGTCGAGAATCATGTACTGGTTGTTGTACGTACCTGAACAAGATAAAACGGAAACATTTGTGCCTTTTGTTCTTCATTCTTGACCTTCGCATTTCCTTCTTCTTTCTTTCCTTCTCTTTTTTGATTTTTTTCACAATCCTTTCATTATTTTCATTTCATTTGTTTAATTTCATACCTGAGTTATACTGTTCAAACACTGCCGCCCACTCGTCACCAGTTTTTGCCATAAGATTTGCTAAACGCACTCTCTGCCAGGCCAGTAAGGACTGGGGCTGAACATACTGATACAATGATGTATTAAAGACATTGTTTGTTGTTTGTAGAAGAATAAGACCGCTGAAACAAATAGAAATATAGCCTTGGTTAGAATCTTTTTCTCTGGTCTTCTTTTGTAAATCGTGATGAATGTTTAGAAACTGGTTGTGATTCAAGAGCAGATCCAGCTGAAATTTTGAGGGGAGGTGGGAGGGCTAAATGGTTTTAAGGGGGGCTAAATGGGCTTTATTTGTTATAAACAACAGTTACAATAATAAAAAACAGTTTAACTTTTATGCTCAAAGGATGGTTTACAGGCCGCCTTTGCCCCTCCCTGGATCCGCTCTTGTGATTGTTAATAATGTGCAGACTCCATAAAATAAGTCCATGCCACTTCTGACATGTTACTTTGAATGTTTTCTTGTTGTTGTTTTGTTTGTATTATGTTTTTTACCAGACCTGTTCATGATGTAGAAATCATCAAGTGATTCCAAAAATCCAGGATAACTAGAGAATGACGTTTTTGTTGCTCCTAACAGAGAAAATCAAATAATATTGAGAAAAACTTGATTTACATTATCTTGTTTGCTTCTCCATTCCTCCCACCCACTATTTCTATCATGTCCTTTTATTATGTAAAGTTATAGTGCTTAGAAAGGAGATTATTTTGAGTGAAAGGCCCTTGGAAATAAATTTGGAAAGATTTATTCCCAACCTTACGCTGGGACTCGAACCCAGGACCTTCAGGTTTGTGTTCTACTGAAACTGTACCAGCTAAGCTACAATATTAGACTGGGAGCAAGTTAATATAGATGTTATTACCTGTAGTTGAGTCTTTGAGATCAAAATAATAGTGTTTGTATATCCTAACCATTGCTGCATAAGCAAACCAGCTGGACAAAGACAATCAGAATGTTACCATGGAATTGAAGCACTTACACAGGTCAAAGACAATATAATGTACCTTGCATGCGATGCAAAAATGTTTTCAAAGCCTGGCAACACCTTGATTAATGCAGAGCAATGTCCTTTCATGAATATCTAGAAGACATGAGTGCTATTACATGTAATATTGGATATTATTTTGATAAATGAACAAAAAGGCAGATTTTGCAGGATAAGGTACATTTTTCATGTGCACCAAATGCAGATCCAGCTATCAGAGGTCTCGCAGCTCTAAATAAAAGTCATTGAGATTTGCTGGCTAGAACAATAGGCTCTATTGTTTATGCTTCGTTCTTCAGAGTCACTCTGTGTTGAGCCAACCAATTACCAGCAATATGTTCTGGCGCTGCGACCTGACCCTCAGTTATCTCAGCTGTGATGCTCATGGCAAATGCTTGGTGCAATTATTTCCAATTATAAGCAATTTGAACCTTTCTCGTTATTTCTTGCTCTGTCATGTGGTTCCAGTCCGGGACTTGTTCAGGTTGTAATGCATGCTTCAGATCTAGAAGATCTCCAACACCATTTAATATCTGGAATGCCCAGTGGGGGAGGACCTAAAAGGGATTCATGTAATTAGTAAATAGTACCATATGAAGTTGTTTATATACAATATTCAATTTATGAAGCACTAACCTTGTCTTTTGGGGGATGGGCTTGATAGCCAGAAACAAGACCTTGGAAGAGAAAATAAATTAACAATAACAATAATAATAATTTAACAAATATTAAATGATTAGCAAATAATATATAGTCAATGGATATGGGCTGCCTATGAATGATATAAGAAATGTGAATTTAATAATGAAAGTAAGAAACTAGTGTAATAAGAACCATATTACCATCGTATTGTGCTAAAATATTGCCCATTTGCCTCCACAATGATGAATTGCCAGAGTTTCTTGATATCATTGTGCGCATCCAATCATCCTGTTGTATTTTTTTTTCATAAATTTAATTATTATTAATTCTGTTTTCAATTTTCTTTTTTGGAATTATTACAAAATTATAAACCCAAACTATATCTTTTAGACTCTTACCTGTTTTTGAAAGAAGTTAATAACTTTATTATAAAGAGCTGATTGATTTGATTTAAAGAATATTCCAAATACATTTTGATAATGGTCGTTAATACGTCTACAAAACAAAATAGAAATATCAACAATATTTTTAAAATTATTTGTTAAGTTACTCTTTTTGCACAGACTCTAAGTTAGCTCAACATCCACACACTTATATTATCATTGCAAGGAAAATACATATTGGTTCAAGTATAAAGGCCAATTTAGACGACACAACTTTTGCTTACAACCATTGCATGCAACCTGCGTAAGTCATCCTTACGACATGGCTACAACTGTCGTAGGGATTTTAAACAATTGCTTAATAGCCTCACGACAGTTGTAGCTAAGGATGACTTACGGAGGTCGCATGCAATGGTTGTAAGCGAAAGATGTGTGTCTAAATTGGCCTTAAAAGTTCATAAGGCTGGACATTATCATTTGACATACTTGGCAGTGAGTGCCCCTTCTAAGTATCCTGCTGCAAACATTATTGTTTTATCATCGTACTGCTTGCTTCCTGTTCCTGATACAATGTTAAGTTCTCCCCACCTGTAAATTGACGATTGTTATTGAGATTTATTATATAGATGAATTCTCACGCGTGCTTTGATTGGCCAAAAAAGTGTGGTTTATGAGAGTATAAACCACGGCTGAGCCCTATTTATATTTGTTAAATAATCAATATTTACATCTAGCCCTTTATATTACAAAGAAAATTACAGCTCTGCAATGTCAAAAATTATATAAATTATGCATATGTCATCATTTTCTCTGTACAGTTATATTAGCTGATCACGTTAATGAATAACAGTTATTATTAATTATTATGAAATATTATTAACTCACTTACCCATTCTTCATAATACTGTCTTCAAATGTTCCATACGCTACTCCATTTTCCTTATCTAACACGCCTGACTTGAGTGTGAAATAGTGCCTGAATCAAATGTGACAGAATATGCATTTAAATAAGTTTTGAAAACACCAACAAGTATTAAGGGCCCCCTAAATAATAAGGTTATCACTGCTCCCATGTTGTAATCGAAATACAGGCCAAACCGTAAATATGTGCAATCACTTTGCACTATTTACAATAGAATTAGCTTAATTTAGCATTATTTGTGTTAAGTACACTTAAATGTTTACAAGTACAGTAATGCATGACGTAACAATATAGGATTAAATTTTTCTATTCACTGTATAATACAAGATATATTAAATAGCCAAGGTTATGATATCAGCAGATCTCCTCGCAACAAAACAAATCAAGGGGATTTTGCTTTGAAGCAATGTCTTTATATGGCTTAAATTGCTGTTGTGTTTTTTTTTTTCGCAGATTGATGAAAGCTCATACCCTTTTGAGTTGTAATACACTGTCCCATTTATAGATGAACTTTGTCCAGAGCCTTCCCTGACTAGAAACGCTACAATAGCGACAAAAACAAACATCTTCAACTATAGAATAGGCACTGACTTGCCTTTCGAAAGTTAAAGCAAAATTTCTCAGTCACGTGAGAACCTAAAAACATTTGCTAGGAGGGGCTCGGTCAGTATAAGTTTGTATCCCCAAGAGGGGAGGGGTACGGCTATAAAGACCAATGAAATTTTATTTTGTTTGTTTTCTTCTATTATTTCTTCTTTTTTTTCCTTGCTCCCGTGCTTCTTTTCTTTAAGACTCTGTAAATGTTTTTCATCGAATTATTTTGTGTTTTCTCGCTTTCCTTGATGCTATTTATATTGAGTTAAAGCTTATTTTCTTGTAATCAGAGTCATTTTTGAATATTTTTATTAAAGTTTATTGAGCAGCACGTGTCCTGAATAATTAAGTGACTTTTTTGAAGAAAACAACGCTATTTATTTCTTTCCAGGTGGTGACGTTGTACTCAATCTTCGCGCGACTTTGACCCCCAAACCAAGGCAACGGAGGAAGCGAGATGGCGGCTCGACTCGTACAATTATTAGGTGTCACTTTTATGACGATCGTTGTAATTATCGTTGTTAGAACTGTTCAATTTTCATTCATTAAGCAAGTAGACAAGCCATGTAAATCCAGCGACGAGGACTTCATCAACGCTGATGATAAGATTCTTGCACGATTCAGTCAGGCGCTGCGGTTCAAGACTGTATCATGGAGAGAGGGAGTTTATGACACAGAAGAACTTCTAAAATGTCAACAATTCCTGTTAAAAGGTAAGCTTTAATTCAACAGCATTTTCTTCAACTATCTCAGTATTAAAAGATGCAACAAGAATATCGAGATTATTAGTTCACAAAGTCAAGAAAATTATAAATTTGACTATTGTACAAAACGGCTGTTCAGGTAATGGAGTGTGACGGTCACGGCATATTATTGAATAGAGTCTCCTGTACTAATAAAACACTATTCTACGCCAAATAATAACATAGATTTTACTGATAAACTAGTCAAGTGTGTATTATTCTAAAAAGTTGATGCATTTGAGTTGTTATTTGTTGTTTTTGAGTATAACTAATTTACTATTGAACCGGTCTTCCTGTGGTATTAGTGCTCGTTGTGTTTGTGCAAGTTTATAATACAACAACATTTTTATCTTATATTTTCAGAATATTCGTACGTCTTCAACCATCCTTTAGTTGATTATGAAATCATTGCAAATTATAGCATAATAATCCATGTCAAGGGAAGTGACCCAAGCCTTCGACCATATATGATAGCCGCCCATTTAGATGTTGTTCCAGCCAGCAATGACTCATGGGAAGTCCCGCCATTTGATGGAAGGATAAAAGAGGGATACATATATGGGCGTGGTACTCTTGATGCTAAAAATGGGCTCATGGTACAAGAACATTTCTGCGATGTTTGAAATATGATCATAATTTCTTCCTGCAATTTTCATCAATTTTTTTTAATAATAAAAAACACTTTTATAGTGCAAATGGGAAATGATTTCATAAGATATGATAAATTTAATACTTTGAAACTTCTTACCTTTGATGTAAGTAAATCCCATTCAAAAATTTTATTTTTATCTTTAAATATTTCTATGATGTAATAATGCAATTGACTGTATCTCTATGCCAGTATATTTTGTATTTTTTTGTTTTATGGTGACAGGGATCTATTGAAGCACTGCAGTTTTTGCTTCAAAGAAATTTCAAACCAAAGAGAGGAATCTACTTCACATACGGCCATGATGAAGAGGTAAGACTAAAATTTCCATTCAGTGGATGGAGGGATGATTTATCTCATGCATCTGCAGTAGTTTTATTATAGTAAAGTTCATTTTTATTATATAATAAAATTCTTGTGAATATTATTAAAGGTTAATGGTTTATTTGGTGCAAGGGAGATTGCTAAAGTTTTGAAATCAAGAAACATCACGTTTGAGTTCATAATTGATGAAGGAACTGTCATTGTAAAAGATATCTTCACTGGTGTGGATATTCCATATGCATTGTGAGTGAAATACATGACGCCTCCTCTGCAGGCTTCTCTCTACCTTTATTCAAAATCTAAATTACAAATGACATAACATGTTACTAAGAATAATTTGTTTTATTTTGTTTATGTTTGGGTAGGATTGGTGTCGCAGAGAAGGGATATGTGGCATTGGAGTTGAGTGTGATGACAGCYGGAGGACATTCATCAATGCCGCCTAGTGAAACCACTATTGGTATACTAGCTAGGGCGGTTTCTAGGTAACGTAAGCTATATTTCAGAAATGTCAGGCAGTAGCATTAGAGACATGTATGTCTCTATGCTGGGAGAACACAACAAGATGTCAACGCAATTGTCACAGGCGTTATAAATGCATCTAGTAATGAGAACCTTATATAATATAATAATGAAAAATATTTTATTTTATTGTATGCTGTCTTGTAGGTTAGAATCATGCCCAGTTCCTGCTATTCTAGATTCTAATGGACCTGTATATGCCATGTTTGAACATGTAGCTCCAAAGGTTAGTATTATTGTCTTTTTTGGCCTTTGGTTATATGAGCTAATCTTGMAAAATTTTAACTGTTCTTATTTTCAAGATATCCATTCCTATTCGAGTTGTCCTGGCAAACTTATGGCTTTTTAAACATTTCCTTATAAGGTAAATAACYATCCTTGGGAACCCTGTGGTTATAATCTGTCAGTCATTCCCTTTTCTTGAAGACACTGGTCACTGAGGGATGCATTCAGATCATTTCATAATCATATTTTCATTTCATATTTTCATTGCAATCAAATTGACTATAGTCATTAAATCACCTTCATCATCACCATTCTTGCTTCAGCATACTTTCCAGGAAGCCATCCACTAATGCTCTACTACGTACAACAACAGCACTCACTCGTTTTAATGCAGGAATAAAGGTATGGCATATTGCCTATATGGTATCATGGTTGATCGTACAATGATAGCATTTAGAATATCTCGTCTGTATTAACCACAATTCAATAAAACAGATTAAATATAGCTAAGCTCTCGTCTCTTTTTTTTCCAGGACAATGTTATTGCTCCTACTGCCACAGCTGTAGTTAACCAAAGGATACACATAGGAAACACTTTAGAAGAGGTTGGGCTTTTGTTATTTCATTATGAGCTCAATTCCCACCCTCCATCTCAGTCTATTTTCTCATCATTATAACCTTTCACAGGTTAAATGACATCACTTCACAACAGTGATTACATGTCATAATTCTTGTCAGTTTCATTAGTGAAATTTTCTTTTTCATCAAAGATACTGGAGCACAACAGGAAATGTATCAATGATGATAGAGTAAAGTTCCATATGAAAGCATTCAATAAACCATCTYCAGTGTCACCTTGGGGTAAAGATGCCTTGGGTTATCAGGTATACTAAAAAAACTTGTCGTTTGTAATTGCATATTAAAAAACAATTTTAATGTTATTGTTTTAGGTCATTTCTGAAAGTATACGACAAGTCTTTCCTGGAATAGGTGTCGCGCCAAGTTTGCTGGCTGCTGGCACAGATACCAAACACTAYGGGGACTTAACACCATCTATTTATAGATTTTATCCTTCAGTTCTTGAACCAACAGATTTAAAGAGAATTCATGGATTCAATGAGAGAATATCTGTTAAAAATTATGAGCAAACAATTAAYTATTTTTATCATCTGATAATTAATGCTGACAAGAAAGCTCCGACAGGACCACAAAAAGAGGAATTATAGATTTGAACTTTYTACATATACTCAAATTATGGAAATGTGAATAATTTCTTGCAATTTACAATTTTAAATATATTTGCAAGAACTTTGAAAATATTTAATAATTATTTTATTGATTACACAATAATCCTATACTGTACAGATACAATGTATTCATCAATAACTTCAGTATCAAGCCTTTTCAAATCAATGAATTTTTAAAATTTATACTGCATGCTGTCACAACTACAAAACAAGTTTTTCAATTCAAAATATTTTATTGAACACTTTAACTCAAGATAGAGTGCCAATTAACATGTTATTTTAGGAGAAAACCATCTTAATTTATTAAATATATTACGATATATCCATAACATCAATCATTAAGTTTTCCTAGACCATGAATGTGATGATGCTAAATCAGGCAGCTACATCAGGATAAAATAAGAATTTTGCTTGTTCTTTTGAGCTACAGAATCCATTATTTATCCCCAAATGAAGCTGGCATGTCATTAACTTAACAGTGACCTCAGTTGACACTGAATTGTRCAATGCACTTCAATCACTTTAAAATGTTTTTAAAATAAAACAATAAAAACTTTGTAAAGAAAATGTCACTGCGTCATGAAACTCTCCAAGGGTTGTACCTATAGAAAGTCAACTTAACACATTAGTTTACTGTAGGCTCCAGTTTTAGCATCTTATAGCATGTAAAGCCATGAGATACAGGTAAAGAGCCAGAAAAATGTTAGTAAATCTAAGTGTGTATACACTTAAAACAATATGTCAGTGTGTTGGGTTTTTTTTTACTGTAGAGTAGAAACATTCTCATAAAATGATTGCTAAGTAGTGATAGATTAATACACATGAAAGTTTGCTCTAATGTTAGTAAAATATAGAAAACACTTACATTTACTGTAAAAAGTACTTTTATTTCATTTTCTTTAAATACATTAAAATTTGGACTTTGAAAGTGGATGGTAAACAAAATTGTGTAGTATTAAGAATCTTGGATTTTACTCTTGACATTATTAGCRCTCCACCAGATAAGCAGAGCAGCMACTACAGCAAGGAATTCCGTTTGTACCCATAATCCTTCACGCCCAGCACCCTATGGACAAATCAATGAGTTATGAGTCAGTTTACAGAAGGCACAAGCATGAAATAACCTGCAGGACTTGTAAGTGGGTCAGAACTTCTTAGAGGATGGATCTAATCAGTCTAGATCATTGATGTAAATATTGTTCATCATTCCACATTCAACAGGCAAAACTTTCTACCAGTATTTTACATTGGGTCTTACTCTGGTAGAAATAATCAAGCATCAATTGTGTGTGATATTGCTTACTTTGTGGTTGATCTCAATAGTGAACAAAGGCTTGATGTCAGTAGATCCTCCACTTCTTTGTGCCTGATAAAAAAACAAAGACTGACATCAGACTCACGACTATGCTAGTACAGTAGCTGGCTGTAAACCTACAAGGTGCTAATCAGACTAACAATTATATTGTAATCAGTGTTGTTTCATTGGATTGACAGATTAGAAGTGATCATCATTTAAACACCAATATTTATACATCAMTATATAGATTTTAGCCAACATTAATTTTACACATACCTTTCTAAAGTTAGAATATCCCTCYTCATCCATGAAGTTAACTTTGTAAACTCCTGCTGCAGCCTTTTTGTGCTCTGATGACCAGCTTACCTGGAAATCAATAAAATGGTTAACAAATATATTAAATAGTATGTTGCAGGCTTAGAAAAAAAACTTATAAGTAGTTCAGTGTATTATAATGTTTTATAGTCTAGTTCGTGTATCCTCAGGGGCAAAGCTAATAAAATAAAATAAATGTCATTCCAGTACTTACCTGGTATTTAGTATTATCGGCTGACCTGGTAACAGGCATAACATTTCCATTAACYTCGGCATATAGATTGATATCCTACAAATATGTGATGATACTTAATGACAATACTATAACGGTAATATGGATAGATACTGTATTGTGTAAGATGTGGTTCAGAACTTCTTAGAGGATGGATCTAATCASAGGTGATCATTGTAGCGATTATAACTCATCATTCCACATCAAATATTACATTAAYAGGATTTTTAAACAGCTCCCTGAGTTATCTTGCGAGTTAGCTGTGCCTTTGAGTCAAAGTAACACAACCATTGTGCCTTCAATAATAGGAAACTTCTTTTACACTTTCAAACAATTATTTTTCATGGCACCATCACTGGTTGTCTTGCTTTTATGYAAAGGCATGGTTACACAATGGCACCAGGAACCTTAAAGACTACTATTACAGTTACTCTTTACATACCTTAGCATTATTATCACATTTCAGAGAAAACTGAGTAAGAAACACCGTCTCAGTGGACATAAATATGTTATCTGAAGTGTACACATCTGTTGTGACTTTTGGGCCTACACAGGTTTCACCTGAATCACAATAAGAAGACTATAAGCAAGACATATCTGAGCCAAATAACACTTTAATATTAAAGGTGAATTATGTTAGCAGCCTTCAAAGAAACATTACATTATAATAATGATTCTCWGTATGAAGATTGCAATTACTATAGCTACCATTCTAGCATATGTTTYATTTTATGACACAAAACACTGCGAAAGGGATAGGTAGCATGCAGGAGGAACTATAGATTTGACAATGCTACAGAAAATGGCTCATGCAGGCTTGGATCATTGGCTTGAGAGGGTTGTTCAATGTTCCAAAATGGTGCTATTTCACCCAGTTGAACACATTTCAACCAAACAGTTTCTTGTCTCTTTTTTTTAGCCTCAAAAAGTATTTCTAATAAGAATATACAGGCTTACTCACTATGAGGACAGAACACGACTGCCAAAGGCAGCCTCGATCTATTACAAACGCCCGATATAAAGAGGTGTTCTTTATACTTCATGCTTCTTTTTAAATTCTTCTAAAATATGTAAATTTCTTCACAAGTGTAAAAAGTAGTAAGGAAACAATCAACTATCTTCCATTCTTGCCATACTAATCTTTGTCCTTTGTTTAGTAGATATATTAAAACTTTGGCTAAGTTAGTGCGATTAATAATATTGCTAACAAAACTAGCCGGTGAGCTCGTGTCTCGTCATCACAGAAAACTACAACTGGATCGAATTCGCAAAGAATTTCTACTCAAAAACTTCTATGATCGTCACAGCTTTTATAATTTTTGAATACAACATGGCTTAAATCGAGAATTGAAGGTACWAAAAAGGTTTACCTGATACTAAAACAAGTCCAAAAAGACCCAAACACAACACAAAGAAACTACCGGCCGCCATGTTCATTCCACGCCGCTCAAAGAGAACGAAACCACGTGATCAAACTATTTTATAATTACCCGCCCGCAAACTGACATATCAGCAGTTTCACAACTAAATGAATCTGCAGACAGCTCTGGTCAGCGGATTCTAATAACTCAAAATGAAGGTCAAACGAGTCAAAGGGGCCAAGAAAATGATCAATTTTTACAAGAATTCYTTCGGAATATTTGAGCCATTTCAAGTGCTGAGTAAGATTAGATATTGATGTTGGATATAGCTTAGTTTTGTGCGGTTTAGTTCCTCGTTTACGTATAAATGTTTTGTTTTTAAAAACACACGTGATATTGTTTTGAGTGAAATGAAGAATATGTGTTTGCTTTCCAGTTGATGTTACGTTCTGCCAGGCTGCTATCCTTGGGAAAGTACTGCTGAAAGAACAAATACCAAAATACTTCGACGCCAAAGTTCAACTGGGTATCCTTTWAGTAGAAATTTGTGTGTATTTTTTTATGCTTTGCGAATAGTTTCACATTCTTAACACACCAATRCAGTTACAACAGCCTGTATCTTAGAAGAAGGAAAGTCCCTTGGACCATCACTTAGTGGTGCTGTTTCTATAGCAAAGAGATTTCAAGTTAGAGTATGTGGACACAAAAAAAATCCAGTCCCAGCCACAGAGTGTATCAAACATCTAATAGGTAGATTTCTACAGTGAACTGAAATATTGAGTTTGTTTATATTATAGTATACCATACTTCATTTCATAGTTCCCAGTGCCATCTTGAAAGGTAGTCATACCATTGATTGAAGCAAGACAGATGCTAAACATGCAGTGACAATACTTTTCATTCAGACTTTCCATCACTCAATAAAATCGAAATATAGCTGTCATTACGACCTTCTGTACATAATTCAAAAGTTGAATTTGCACAGTATGCTTTCCATCCTTGGATTATCACTCGTCTTACTACAGGTTTTTTCCATCGCCTCGTTTCAATACTTTGTTCATGGTTACTGAACCTGAGTATGGAAAGTTGCGAATACCTATGGCAATAAATATATTATTCATGGTATCTTTCATTTTGAGCTCCACTCCTGTCTCTCTTCGATGCAAAGGCCTGCCTACCTCTCAAGATGTCATTGGTTATTGTGAAAAGAGMTGTTATGAAATAAATTGTGTTGAGTTTTCATCATCATAATGCCATAGTCTTTTGATTTCTACATGTACATTGTCATCTCGTATTCAACAGGAACAAACAATCCAAACAGATACTTTATAGCAACACAAGACAGAGAGCTTCAGTCCCACTTGCAGACTATACCAGGTGTGGTTTTTGTGTTGCTTTTAGGGGAGGGGGTTGACTGTTGTGGTGGTTTTAGAGAAGGGAGTAGGGGAAACTATTGTGGTGATTTTATGGGAAGGAAAGGAGAGATGAGAGGAAAGGAAACTGAAGGAATTTAATTCAAATCAAGACAAATTTGCATATGAGCTGCCTATAACCTTTCTATTTTTTCTAACTTCAGGCGTACCACTTTTGTACTTAAATCATAATTGTATTGTCCTTGAAAAACCAACAGCACTTTCAAGTGAAACTGCTCAAGAGGTAGGATGGAATGGATGATTAACTTCAGTGTTTATCTATATATGAACTCCAAACACAAATCTCAGTTACACCCTCTCCTGCTAACACTCCTTATTCAGAGGGAGACTATGTTTGGAGCCTCACTCTATGTGTCCAACTTCTGTCACTTGGTCAAAAGCTAAAAAAATGAATAATATTTGCCGGTAGGTCCAGGATTCAAGAATAGACCCCACCAGCCATGAAAAAGATGTCATMCAAAAACTCAAAGGAACATTACCCGAAAAAGAACAAAATCACAGGAAGAGAAAAAGGCCAGGAGGACCAAATCCCTTATCGGTGAAGAAGAAAAAAGTAAAATCTGATGGTAAACAAAAAGCAATATTGAGTGAACAAAAGGTAATTATAGTGAATTTGTTGTCTTTATATTTGTATGTTCTTTGGTCAAATCCTCTGTTTATGAGGGAAGAACAATATTTTAAAATGGCCATTTTCTAATCCTAAAGTGTGCCAAAATATCTTGACTGTGAGTGTCTATTTTATCTATGTCTWTAATGGATTGTTTGTTTGGTCTTTCTAAACCATTTATTTTTCTAATAACAGAAGAAAAGGGTAAGGAAAAGAAAGAAAGGCAAGATGGCAGCCCATGTACTACAAGCCTTAACAGGRCAAAGCTGACAAATCATTCTTATAAGTTCTTTTATTACAAATGAATCAGAAATGTGAAAATAAAGTATTTTTAAATTAGCCCAGGCTTGTATTTAGTATAATTCTATAGATTTTAAAAAGTTTTTTTTATGGAATTCAATCCCTTCTTCACAATGAATAATGAATTGTTATTTATTGTTGGTAGCGTCTTGTTGCATATGACTTTGGTTTCATCATGACATACTTGTAGTTATTATAAAGGTCGGGCTACAGGAAGAAAGAAATGACTGTTAGATTGCATAAAATGRCAGACTGATCTTCAACTCACGGCGGACTGAWATAGAAACTTTCCAGGGGAAGTCCCAAAACGAAGAAACGACGTAAATGAAAATGAGATAAATGTTTCRCCAAAGTTGAAACTTGAATAAGGTCAATGTCAATAATGAATCTGTTTTCTTACCATGCCGACATGCTTGTCGGGAAACGAATGTTCACTCCATCGAAACGGAGGTACATCCTGAGAAGAAAACGAGTTGTAATTATGCCTTGATGTACAGAAAACGTGATTGTGCGCCTCCCCTGATGATGGAGGGTGCCGGTTAAGACTTCATGGGCTGGGCGTTTCCAGTAGCAGTACTAACATAGCGTCAAAATGCAAAACAACTAATTTTCTTAATCGATAATGTTAGTCTAAACGAATCTTCGCACTGTGCACTTCCCTCTTAAATACGCCCCTGGACTTACATAGTAAGTAGGACCATTTACAGCATACGACGTCAGGTTCTTGGCCATGTTGTAGTCTGTCACCTGAAAGAATGAATGAATAAATGAGAATCAATTAATTTCTGAAAAGATCCATTCTCTAGATCATAACAAATGACAGGAACCCCAACTCCATCCAATATAAACTCGTCCGTATGGGCGTTTTTATGTTAGAAACGAAAGATTCTTCATGTATTTGAATAGCTTTCCATTCGAGACAAATATTCCGTCTCAAACGCATCTAATTGTCCTTACGTTTCTATATTTCAGTCGTCACACTTCTCACGCATCAAACTAGGTAACCTACGTGCGTAATAMGTATATCGACACGTGAGGAGCTTAACGTTATAAATGAGCACGCGTGATCATGATCTACCTTTGCGTCTGTGCAACCAAAAGCTACTGGTTCGTCACTCAAAAGGTCGCCACGTGAACAAATAGCTCTAATRGAACTGTTTAATGAATATGGGTCGAACTGGTAACCTATAATGGGAACAACGAAAAATGAATAACAGTTTATTTATTATAAAAACCAGAAGATCATCCATATTTTTCAAACTTATCAACGCAGCGCGGCCTTACCGTTGTACCGCATTAGTATCTCTATTGTTCTCAGATCACGAACCTAGTGCCATAAGAATTACCTCATTAGCAATATAAAAAAAGAGAGAAGAGAAGGAACATATGCGGGAAGAATATTATAGCATTGTGATATAAAGCGAATAAACCAATTGCGAGTGCATATGCAAAACGCGTTCTCAACGGGTAACTCCACGTCACTAACAATTACAATTCAATCAAACGTACYGTRTTTTGTTCTTGACGGAAAATCTTTGCCCGCGGCGCCATTTCATATGAATTAGTGATGCCATGCTTTTTAACAAACTCGGGATAACCACTTAAATTGTACACCTGAAAAAACGAACGCACATGCATGAGCGTTGAACAGAGTAGTACAATRGCACTCTTRATGCCYGTTTACWCTTGCGATTTTTGCGCTACAATCACCASTTWGTTCTMGCGCACCTCAAATCGTACGTGYAAACAGSCCGGCGACTATTGTCACGGCGATCGAAAATCACCGCGAGTTGCAGTTAAATTTCAAGCATGTTCGAAACTCAGGCGATTGTCGCGCTTCAAAAACCGCAAGTGTAGACGGGCCTTTACACAGGATCATAACTCACCTTTTCGTAGAAAGGAATGTTGTATGATGGCCAGTATCCATACCTTAAAATCGATGTCTGATCACCGCTCTCAACATACCTATATTGTGAATCATGATGTTTTGAAAAAGAGATCACGTCTACTAGATACCTTACGTGAAAATTACGCAAACTTAAGTACGTTTGTAGCCATTTACGGGATATATACCACTTTTACGCAGAAACCTTAGACCATCTTACGCAACTTGGCTCGAGGCGAATCAGAGTGCAAATACGGAAACGTACTGATACGCGACGCAACTATCTATTATTGCAGTAAGGCATAGATTACTTACGTAGGAATCTGTTCAACGACCCAGAGYGCGCCATCGTGTAACGTTTTGTTCAGTTCAACGCGTTTTAAGTCGAGGATCATGTACTGGTTGTTGTACGTGCCTGAACAAGATAAAACGCAGTTATTAAAAGATTGCGTTTCCGTTCCATTCTTCATTCATGCACACATTTATTTTCTACCTGAGTTGAATTGAGAGATTACGTCMGACCACTCTTTACCAGTTTTCGTCATAAGGTTTGCTAATCGCACTCGATGCCAGGCGAGTAAGGACTGGGGACGAATAGTATTGTACAGTGTCTTGTTGTAAACGTTGTTTGTGGTCTGGAGGAGGATGAGGCCGCTGAAGCGAAGTAAATGATAATATATACTCAATCAGTAAAATAATCGTTGTTTTATTGTTAGCATCATTATAGAACAAAATTACTAATATTTATACTTATTATATGTCATATTTTATTTTCGCGCCAAATTCTTTGTRAGGTCGAGGAAAACTGGGAACTAGTCATACAAAATGGCGGACGAAGTGGARRAACTGAACTTGGAGCGAGAAATTGTATTTCTTGTAATATATGCGATSTATGTCACTYTGATGGTAAGTGATTGTACAACAAATGAAGTTAATTTGTTTGAATTTTGATGAAATTGAGTGTAAGTGAACACGGAATTATCATCAATTCGGTGATCATCGCCTGACTATTGATCAGTCTGCAGCTTTCCATTTCAACAAAACAATAATCGTTTATATAAAATACCTGTCCATTATGTAGAAATCATCAAGTGATGATAGCAGACCAGGATAGCTGGAAAAGGACATATTGATAGAACCTGCAAACCAGGATAAATTACCTAATGTTTTTCAAGAACTAATAAGCTAATTTACACGAGCATCGGAAATTTTTAATACTAAAAGGGTAGATTTATAAATCTCGCCATCGATTTGCTTCCTCGTTATTTTACTTGATTTCTGGATGTCTTTTATGTCAACTTCTGATGATATAGAATCTAATCTCAAAACCTGATCTATTTAGCTTGTTTTGAGTAAATGTGACTAGACTATAGAGATGGAATTATTATTGTCACTAGGCCCATTTCAGACGTCGATCTTTTGCCGCGTCTAATGTRTAATTGCTTACATACAGTTCTTGAGAAGAACTAGAGAAGTTTGTAGTCTACATTGATTGATATTTACAGATTATAATAAGTTTGTCCCACTGAACAAAATTTACTAATGTCAATAAATTTAGAGCACGAAATGCTCATTAGCTCAACTCAACCAACTAGATTAGACTCGACAAAATATCGACGTCTGAAACGGGACTTTATTATTAATATCATAATTCATGTTTTACAATAATTGTGATTGATACCTACTTGTTGAAGAGTCAGTATTGTTGATATTGTAGTGTTTGTATATTCTCAACATAGTACTATAGTGAAACCAGCTACAAAGTCAATACACAATATCATTAGTACCTTTCAGTCAACCGATCAGACTGTCAGTCATTGAAGAAGTCAGTGAGACAAACGGCCACTTAGTTAGATTCAAGGKTAAACTTTCAGTGTATCAGCCAGTTTGTCTGTCTGTCTATTAGCTTATCTGTTTGCCTGCCTCCAAATCCCTGACCATCTTTCAATAGTCAGTCAATCATACCTTGCGTGAGCTGCAAATATATTCTCATACCCAGCCAAGACTTTGATTAAGACAGAACAATGACCATGTTTAAATATCTAGAGTTAATATTGAATACTGTCAGAATAAGGCTATGTAATGTCAAACAAATCTCAATATTCAATAACTGACGTTACTAGAGTACAAACACTAAAAGGATGCAAGTCTTTGCACTATTTACTACTAATAGTGCTTAATAAATAATATAAAACAATAGTATTGGCATATTTGGCAGTATTTAGTGGTATTTATAATTCAAACTGCTTGTCAGTGTATAACCAATTTCATTTTATAATTATATCTGTTATTTGAAATTCTCAATATCCTCATCACTATATGATGTAGAACTGTTTTTATACCGTTCTTTGTACTTCATCTTCAGTCATTGTATCGTAATCAGGCGAGTCTTCAGGCACCAGTGCTTCCTTGAGATCTATTAGATCGCCAAGTGCATTCATGATTTGAAATGCCAGAGAAGAYAGAGGCTTTGAAACACAAAAATGTTATCAATACCAAGTTGCGAGACACTTCAACATGGRTGAAATGATTCAATACCTTGTCTGTTTGTGGATGTGCTTGATAACCAGCTAAGAGGCCTAAAAACAGCATTAAACAAGACATKACTATCTTATATCGATGGTACAATTTGATTTACATGGTGTTAAAGGCCCAGTGTGCACCATTATGCTTTTGGAGGCCGCGAGGGCCTGGAGTCGGCCATTTTCAGTTTAACGAAAGTCTATAAATTTTACTGTGTTTTTCGAATCTTTGACCATCTCACTTTTCTAAGCACTTAAACGCTAATATAAGAGTTTTCAACCGTCTGACATTCGTTTTATGGTGATATTTGGATACTAGAAATATTTTGGTGTAAATCATAACAATAACAGAGRCGCGCAAAGCATAGGTGCAACTGATGATAGTTTTAATACCGTCATATTGTGCCACAATATTTCCCATCTGCTTCCAAAACGACGAAGTCTCGGACTCTTTTATAATCATATCGCGCATCCATTGTTCCTTCGGATGTGATAAAAAGAAAAAAAAATTTCACTTCACATCAAAGCAAAAGCTAAACGACATAAGATTATATTACTTAATAATTTTGAAGTGGAAATACAGTCATCTCTCGTAAGCGACCACCTCGGGATCAGACAAAAGTGGTCGCTTACGAGAGATGGTCGCTTACGAGATTTTTTTACAGAGGTTATATGGGAAGCAATTAGAACGGGAAATTTAAAAGGTGGTCGCTTACGGGATATGGTCGCTTACGAGAGTGCTCGTTCAAAGAGAGTCAACTGTACAAACCTGCTCACTGAGAAACATTGTTGCTTTCTGAAAAAAAGGATCACTCTTTCCTTTGAAGAATATTCCAAATGTATTTTCATAGTGTTGATTTATACGTCTGCAAAACGTCAAATTGTTAGTACAAACTATTGAAAAAAATGTACAGTTTTAGAAAATAATGAATATGCAGTACTTAGCTGTCAGCGCGCCCTCCAAGTAGCCAGCCGCATGCATCTTTACAATATCTGAGTAGGGCTTTTGTCCTGAACCCGCCACGATGTTTAATTCACCCCAGCTATGAAAACAGACAGAGAAATYTAACACAGACAGACAACAGGCGAACTCGATATAAGTATTGCAATCATAAGCACAATAATGGAGTTTTCTTAGACGTAAGGACAAAATACAGCTATTTCAATAAACGTTGTCGGGGAAAACGGCGAACGGCGATTGTCGAATGGACAATGCACGACCGAAAGGGACTGTGGTTATACTGTTTTCACAAACAAAATTTCACTTATTGGATTCACCTTACATGGTGACTAAATGGAGCCAATGTTTCTTTGCCACGGCCTATTAGCAACGGGACTATTTTGCAGTATAAATCAGTTGTTATTGCCTTTCAACTAGCAAAACCCATGGCTACTTTCGGACTTGCAATCGCCGTTCGACAATTGAAATTCGCCATTTTATCCGACAGCCTTCTTTAAAATAGCTATATGTCGGCATAAGGCATAATCATAAGAAAACGACATTGGCCTTGTGACAGTGCTTTTGTCTATGACTATTCTTATGCACACGGGAAAGCTGTCCCATAGGTTTTCATTTTCTCCTTGTCCTTATGTCGATGCTTATTGTTATGCTTGTGTTTATGTCAAGTAGAAACACTGTGCATCTTTTCGTTTATCATTTTTGAATGAACTACGCAGCTTGGTACAGATAGATAGTCAAARAGTCGMATTCGTATTCTTACCCATTTTTTATGATTTTGTCGTCGTAAGTTCCGTATGCCACTCCATTTTCTTTGTCGATGACTCCAAACTTTATACTGTAAGCACTTAAAAAATATAGAGCAATCGTTACAGTAGAATATGAAAACCCCTACTGTACGGACAGCCTGTGTAGGTCAAGTCTGTCAATGTACAAAAATCGCCATGGTTTTTGTTCACATTGTATTGTTTTGTATGCWCTTTTTGACTTCACCGTAGTATGGCTAAGGAAAACAGCTAAAGATTGGAGAGGACTTCATTTTATAGGTGGAAAAGATTTCAGCTATAATTCGTCTTTGTATTTTAATTTATAGATCCTGACCTCATAGTACACGATGGATATAACACATTGTCCAGCGTTACTTGGCGAAAGATGGTTTGTTAACTTTCGTTTATAGAGAGGCTAATGTGTGGTTCGTTGATAGAGGTTAGTGGATGGTCTGCTGATATATGATAAATRTAGAAACTACTATAGTGGTCGCTTTAATGAGGTCAGTTCGTATAACTAAAGTGTGTGACCTACAATGGTCAACTTTTATGCCTCCTGGTGTCTGATWTGATCCGACAAGAAGTTATCCATGAATGACATGTCTTATGCATAGTCAAGTCATTTTAGGTTTAAGAATGRTTCATAGGTTTGCGTCAGTTCAGTTATTGTAACTGGCAATATGACAAATTTGAACAAGTTCTTTTTTCTTCTTTACAGTCTTTAAGTCTTTCATAAAGTATGATTCTAGAACATGAATATCATTTAAATCAGTTTGACCAKTTAAATGTACTTTTTCACATAAAAATATAAAGTAAACTGTACAAAAATAACATTTATGAATATAAATTATAATTGGCTTTGCTTGATTGACCGTTTTTTTCCTTTCTGTAAAATTATGTATGATTCCTTATACACTACGCTATTCTAGATTGTTATTATGTATAATAGTCAATATGCATTAATAACTTATTAGTATTAGAGTATTAAACCAAGCATTGAACAATCGAATAGTTCTTATGGTTGTGTGTGTTGGCATTTTTTGTGCTCCGATGGTTATGAAGCATCAGATCAGAGCAGGATTCATTCGTCTTACCCACTTAGTTGATTGATRTAAACTGTCGCATCCATCGATGATTGGGCCTGGTTCAAGACAAAAATACTGGCTACTAGGACGCCATGTACGTACAGTAAGACATAAAACATGGCAACGCGATCCTCTGCAAATATTACTGCTGTAAAGTTTTGATATGTGTGTGTTATGTCAGTKTGCTTCACGCGTGACGCCCACTTAATGTTCGAGTAACGCAAGTGTCAGGGGTTCTTTCCTTCTCCTCATATTCTTCTATTAACTCGCTGTTATAGAGTTGACATAACTCCAAAAGAGGAGTTAWGAAAGATTCCAGATAACTCTCTTTCTGAGTTGATTTAAACCTCTGGAATAAAAACTACTCGGGCATTGTAGAGTAGATTTAACTCTCTTTAAAATTACTCGATCAGGTATAGTAACTCTAACTCCACTGTTACTGGTAGAGTTATCTCAACTCCTCGAAAATAACATAGCGTTCGAAACGGAGAGAGTAATGAAATATTGGATAATCTTTGACAAAATGGCATCCTAAATAAAAATATTATGAAAGGGAAACGGATCGTTAGTTACGGATGCATTTAAAATAATTTAAGACTGATTAATTGGCTGAGAGTTGTCATAACTGCTTGTTAGCTACCCAAATTTGGAGGTATACCACACACTTGGAATATATCGAAAACGGTTTCGAGAACGATATTTATCATAAAATTATCTATGAAAGTAAGATAAAAGCAATTTTACGACATAATTTGCTTTCATATACAATTATATGATAAATACGCTACGCTCACTCGTGAGAGATATTTTCAACCCTCGAAGATAAAATCCGTATCTCCGCGCTCCCATGTAATATCCTCTATGTAAGGAAATTTACGAAATACGCAAAAAACATTATTGACATGAAATATATCACGTTTATCGTAATTTCATGGTGTAACATTAATTTATGCAATGTGCAAAAAGCTGGGACAAAATAGGCACGCACTACCGTTGATAAAATGCCAGAGGCAAAGACAAAGTTAACATTTAAAAGAAATTGACATTTTAAACAACGCTTGGTTATCCACAAGTAGGGAAGGCTTACTCAGGTGCACAAGAGTTTAATTTGTGTGAAAACCGTGAGCAGAGGAGAAACGCACAGAAAAAAGAAAATAAACTCTGATTGCATGATAGCAAATTTCATATGTGTCTGATTTACTCAGTTTAAAGACGGTGAATAATAATGTCTGGATGTTGTTGGATTATCTTTTCTTGGCCAGAAACATGGCTGACACTCGGCAACGCCCATGGACTGTTTAGAGGTATTCCCTTTTGTGCGAATGTTTTCTAAACAATGAACGAAAATAAAGGAAAAAAGGTTCCCTCCATTAACTACWGTCCAGTGTCCCTCCCATAGTGTTGTCCAAACGAAACGGTTTTCATAACTGGGTAGACACCCCGGCTCGTTTGAATATCGTGTCTAAACGATGGTAATTTTAGATCTAATTTCATATGGCTGAATTGAATTTTTATAAGTTTGATGATATAACCGTAGGTTATATTCCCTTCACCTGCAACGTCTCATATGTTATGATAAACTGAATAAAACGCCTTGTCGATATTCATTATCGTTGTTATAAGTTTGTTTTTTTTTTGTAGATGTGGTATGAAGTAAAAGGAATCTCGTGTAATTGCTCTTTGGGGTCTGTATCTAATACCGTTCAAAGTAGTTAACCTTTTAGAAACATCTATAAACTCGAAAAGAAAAGAATGGCAGATTTTAATAGACGCCCTGATTGAAAAGAAAAAGTTTGGCGTCGAAATGACGTCCTTAAAAATAATTGCTCTTGAAGAACATTTAAGTGAAACAACAATGAAATACATCGATTGATGTAATAGTTTGTTSAAGTAGGATGTTGGTTTGATTCGAATGTATAATTCAGGACGCGCAAACTATTGGTTCATGTCTTGTTATTCGTCCTCGGCGCTCCGCATACTCKGTKGAAATGTTTTCTCAAGGCRGACAAAAAAAAACACTTGCACTGCTGTTAAAAGGCGGTTTAATTATATTTCAGTGTTTAGAAATTTAAATTAAAATACTTAAAAATAGCTTATGCAAATAACAAGAACAAATATAACAAAATAATCGTCAACGAAAAGTAAACAAAGTAGTTAATAGCTTGCATCTAAAAAAAACTGAATGATCTGAACCCAGGTGTAAGCGATGTAGGTATGGTATGATCGTCCGGGTGTGAGAAGTCTTGACTGTTATAGTTACCTCACGTTTCTACATCCTACGTRGAAGTCATCTTCAGAGTGGCAATCCGGACGATCATACCACATCTACAAAAAAAGCTTATTACAACAATAATGAAGCTTATACTCATAAAGATGAATGAAATATATTATGCATATATCTAAGTTTAACTCTTTCCATCATTGATGGATTTTGGGCAATCTATCCGGGTCTTATCCAAAAACTCTCTTTCTTGTCCGTGTTTTTTGGTAACATTTGTTATGAGCCTGAGTCTCTAGTACTCTTTTCTCCATTGGTAAGTTTTAATGAAGGGTCAATCCACTCGGAGCTTGTGAGGTCTGTTTTGGTTTTAAGAATGTAAAGTAAAAACGTTAAGTTACTAGACTCTTCGTTTATTATATCTAAGTATATTTGTGTTTTACAGATTGTATGTTTGGTTTTCTCTAGTGGTAAGTGTTCAGCAATTATTGGCTTCTACCAATTAAAGATTCACATTGACTTCATTGAGTTTTCAACCGRGTTTGAATTAACTAAGTATTGCTTGTTAGTTTGTAATAGTAAGATTCTAACAAAAGAAAACAATAGAATGAGAGTCTAGTAGCTTGTATTAGCTGAGTTACTCTTTCACTCCAGGATCACCCTATCTTAAAAAACTGTTATTGAATTCTTACAGTTCACTGAAAGGCTATGCATCAAGAGGTCCGCTTTATTGTAAAGGGGTTCAATGATATGACCTTGGGAAATTAAATCTAAAAAAACGATGTTATTAAAGTACAATTGTTAACTGAGGAGCWAATTGTCAATCATGTTATCATGAATTATTTAGTTTGTTTTGGGTTGTCACGAAAATCACCTCAAAATAAACATTTGGYGAATTAGAATTTGATCTGAGAAGCAAATAATTTRCTAATAAAACATGCTTTTGTGGATTTGATTKTTGAGTTCATCAGTATTTGGTACCAGCTACATTACAGACATTTTGCTTTATATTGTTCTTGTTTAAGCGCAATTACACTGAGTAAGTTTCTTAGGACGGATTCTTTTTCATCTTTCCCCTTTTCCTGTTTCAATCTTTTTCTTCTTTTTCTCTTCATTTTCGTTTCGTTATAGTCTCTTATAGTTTTGTTCTTGTTCTTCTTGTGTTCTTCTTGTTCTTCTCGTGTTCTTCTTGTTCTTCTTGTTCTTCTTATTCTTCTTGTTCTTCTTGTTCTTCTTGTTCTTCTTATTCTTCTTGTTCTTCTTGTGTTCTTCTTGTTCTTCTTGTTCTTCTTGTTCTTCTTGTTCTTCTTGCTCTTCTTATTCTTCTTGTTCTTCTTGTTCTTCTTGTTCGTTGTTGCTTTCTCCGTCTGATTTATGTCGTCGTAGTACTCTTGCTGATCGCTTTGTGGTCTTTTCTTTTTCTTATCATGTACGTAAATCCGATAGTAAACCTGGTGAGATCTGTTATCTAAACTATCTTTATTTTCAATTAAACGCTCTACTGCACAGCAAATTATCGTCGTTATTTTCTTCTGAATTTTTTAGTCAAAAAATGGAAGTATACCTGATGACTACATCATATAAACAATCTTCAGTTTCAGCTTATAATCTTACTCAGTAAACTCWTTTAGTTCATTCTAAAGCGCAAGAGTCCTGTAAGTGTCCACATAGATCACTCTACACATGATGATTAGGTGATTTCCATAAATTCACTTGGAAAGTTTTTCCCATGGCTTATTCAAGTAAAAAAAAGCCAATTGTCGCCAAACATTCTGCGACTATTGTTTTCTATTCCATCTGTTTTCTTAAGGCGATCATTGATCAAATATTACTGATTGTTCAAGATTTGTTAACTTCTCTATCCAAGGGGTAGACTATCTTTATTAACTTCGTAGCAGGGTTCCGACAAAACGTCAATTGATGCATTCAAACTTTGAGAAAGCTTGTCGAGCCTGATATTACTTAAAGACTTTGGAAAGTTGTTTCAGGGCGGATTTTCTAAGTGGCTATAAAAAGACGCGATAAATAAGTAGCGCTTATTGTCTTCATAACCCTTATAACAGTAAGACACCGTTTTTTATTAGTTGTTACTGTCAAATCCCCACAACTTTTAATAAACGTTACTTTAAAATAGTTGTGGGTTGAAACTTGCATTTTTCCAAGAACATTTCTAATTGATAGGAGCAAAATTTGGTTGGAGTGCATCATAAAATGAATGGAAAAATATGTTCCCTATTAGAGTAATTTTCCTCAACCAGGCTTACAACGATTTTCACAATGAAACTTTACCAGTCTTCTTCAGTTTTACTTGCAAAAAGAAGTGTTGTCTAGGTATTTTCAAAAAAGAAATTAGTCTGGCTAGAACGTTTGACTTCTATACGTCTAAAAAAAACACTATATCGACTTTACTTTAAGTTTCCAGTCGACCTTCCTACTGGAAARTACCGTATTTGCGTGACCAATAGATGACAAAAACTCTCAAATGATTGTTCAAAAATGGTATTTAACGACAGATTTCGATACTCTTGATGCGAGCGGTGAAGTGCTTTGCCGGAGGTGATGAGACCTCTAATTAGGTCGTCAAACACCCCATAATGGCACTTTATGAAGCTCAAGATAACAGGCTATAGCGAACGTGATTSTTTTGTTAAGCCGCCTTATTACTCTGTAATTAACACCCCAATAAAATCGGCTTAAGATTGTTTAATGCAGGGGTTATAGATGGCGCTAGAAAATTGGCACGAATTATTCAATTTAGCATATTTATTGTCGTTTATCATCGTCAGTTTTATCAAAATATATAGGTTGGTACCACAAGTATTAAGTCCAACGCAGTCAATTACCATGTCAAGGTTAGGTGCCTTAKTATTTGTTAACGGAAAATTGGTAAATCTTTGYAACAGAAGGTTTTTTGGCTTCCCATCGCCTTTTATACAATAATTTGAAGGGCGCACTTTTGTTAAGTGAAGCTTTGACCGTTTTAGTACAGAGTACTGACGTGAAACAGCGGTTTTGAATAAAACCCTTTGTGTTATTGTAACAAAAATACTGAGCCTTTACAGTCAAAACAGCCTAGTTTGTGTACAAAGTAGTTGCATGTTCTGTGATATCAAAACCAAAACACAAAATAATTCATCAGTTTTGTTTATGAGCTTGCTAAGTCGGTAAAAACCGGAGTTTTGAATCATTTTTTGTCGGACCTTGCAGAGGTGTCCAGCTAGGTTCTTCTGTTAAGAGATCAACATTTGCTAACAATGAGTGAGCGGAATGTCAATTAGAAATACAGGCCTCCCTAGTTCATTGTCTAATCTGTCAAATACTGTCCCTCTTCTATAGAAATCACGTCCTTTCGTCTACAAAACCTCGTCATTACATCAGATATCCGGGTATACGTGTCATGCACAATGTAAACACGCCGTTTTTGCTTTTGACAATGTTTGGCAAGTGGAAGATGTACCAGTCGACATCATACATGTATTTATTAGTATTTTGTTTGCGTCTGCTGTGCGGTGTCTTGTATGTGTTAAATCAGTAAGAACAAAGCCTGTCCTTTTGATGTGTTTCATTTGTTCCCAATCTTTCCCTCTCCTATTCATTTTGTTCTCACTTTTCCAAAAGTTTCAGTTTTGGCGAAAGTCTCGAACGGTTCCTAGTTGTGATTCAGTGCTGTGTTTTGTTTTGTGGTTAGCGGGTTATGATTATTATAATTGGTATTTTATGAGTGTGGAGGTTTCTACCCGTATGTACAAATTACCTTAAATAAGTGCACGGACCGCAGGCTTGAAGTTTCTTGGTGACAATAAAGTTTAAGCCGTTAATTGACTMATTGTCTTCATTCAAGACATCTCGTGATTGCAAAGAACGCCATCCAATGATACTAAACCATCAGGAGAGATATAGTTAAAAACACAAGACTGCTGGATCAGATATGYCTGGAATAGCCCATTAATAAGGTACTTATTTTATGCGTTTGGATGTTTGACCAAAGCACTCTAGCTTACTCGCTAAATCAGAACAGAAGCTCGTGACAGCTGGGGTTTTTCAAGCTGCTACCGAGAACACAGATGGTTGGTGTATGTTACATGTATTAATAAAACGAATTCAAAAGTTAAGCAACCTTTCTATTCTAATTTAACTCGTGAATAKTCTTAACCAGGCTGCTAAGTGCCTGTTTTAGTGACCAGCATTAATTTCCTTTCATTTGAAGAAAAAAAAGTTCAAAAAGCACATAAAAAAGTGTATAGGCCCAATTACCGTTTGTTTTCTCCCTACAGGTGTAGGTAGACAATGGTTATAGCCATCCACTCATGCGTTCGATTGAACTACAATGCTACCGACACTTGTCGTTTGTGTACATTGAATATCTATTGGTGGTAATACCCCAGCAGTTCTGATTCAAGTACAATAACGAGACGCGTGCATCATCTACAAACAACACAGTTAGAAGTTGCGAGTGCACGTGTATACGAAGTGAGACCTATTCTAATAAAGCCACTACATCGAACCAAGGCAAAGCACAGTCAAGTACCACGTCAAGACCTTAACATACGCTGCTCGTCCGTTAACTGCTCAAAACTCACAACCCGTTACTTACCACAAGTCACATATTCCTGAATTGAGAAGKTTTTTTTCCTGCAATAATCAAAATGCCGAAGTCATTTCTGCTGAAACGACGGTCCTGTGACAGCTCAGAGGTTGAAGAAAGTTACAACGAGGAAATCATGAAAAATGGTAAGACATTTTCTTGAAACACAAGAAACTTTGCTTTACTTTCTGAAATTTTTAGATTGCACATTAAGTATAGTTTCATTGTAAATCACTTTGGACATATTGAAGTATGTCTTTGATAAAATACCAGTTTTAACTACCTGCTCGCGTGCTGTCCTGACAAAGACTAACGAAAAAAGGCAAAACTCTCAATAAACAAAACAAAGGAATCTCGTTATATATTTGAAATGTTTTTACAAAAAGAATCAAACTTTGAGAAAGTTTTGTGGAGTTTTCGTGAAAACATGATGAGATTACTATATTGCGTTCTTTGTTGTTTTTTGCTTTTGAAAATAGTTATTAACCGCCAATGATTGTTGCATTAACAGCTAAATGCACATCAACATTAATACCAGCAGACGTGCCAAAACCCGCTCAACTTCTTCTGTCATCATCCTTACCTTTCTACGATCAAAGCCCGATGTTGAAGCTTCTTCCTTACCCGGCAAGCACACTATCTTACAGCCCTTTTGATGGAAGCCACAACTGCCTTTTTCATCCAACTTTGCATGGGTTAGGTTATGGAGTTCCGAACTATGAGAAACCTTTCCTCCACAAGGCGTTCCAGGATCCTTTAAGAACCTTCCCGCCTCTCCCAATCCTTCATAATAGAGAAATGGATTTCCATCCATTTCTGTTTCATCATGAACAGAAGAAACTTAAAGAAAACCAACTAAACTTTTCAAGCAAAACAAGAGAATTGTTTCCAGCATTTCTCGACCAAGACGATACTGAYTATCAGCACGAGCCATTGAAATGTGAACAGTGTGGGAAAACATTCAAAACCAAATACACACTTGCGATTCACATGAAGATGCCGTCACATACCAATGCCAGACCGTTTGTATGTGGAGTTTGTGGAAAGGGATTCCGTCTGTCAAGCACTCTTTGCAGGCATAAGATCATWCACACATCCGAGCGCCCACACAAGTGTCACCTCTGTGATAAAGCGTTCAATCGGTCATCGACATTGAAGACACATATTCGAACGCACAGCGAATCTAAGGAATATGTGTGCTCTACCTGCGGCAAGGGATTCCATCAAAAAGGCAATTTGAGAAATCACATTCTCATACACACAGGAGAGAAGCCGTACAAGTGCCGGCTTTGTGAAAAAGCTTTTAATAAACTTTCCAATTTGAAATTCCATATGCATGTCCATACGGACAACTCTCCATACCGATGCAGATTCTGCAAAGTCTCTTTCACTAGACGATGTGATCTGAAATCCCACATTGCTAATGTCCACGAAAAAGACTAAAAGACGACGAACATTTATTGAATTATAAAAATAGTAGAAAAAAACACTATCAAAGGAACAGTWSTATGAAGTAGTTTATATAATCCAACCKAACTGGTGCCAACTTCAAATCTTATTGTTTTAAACGAGTTTGTCACCAGAACAAGACACAGGGTACCAGCAAACCAAAAACGCTTTTTTTGTCATTTATTATAAAGCAGAGTCTAGTTGTATTAGTTAGTCAAACTATCGATGTATTAAACTGTACAGGAACTGTAAAGATATTGTAATATAAAACCAAGTTTATGCCTTTTTTATAGATTTTAATATTTCGATATATATTGCCATTGTCAGACAATCTTTACAAGATGAAACATTCTCGCCTTCTTTTATTATTGCAAAGTAAAATCATAGAATTTTTTCCATTTTAACTTTATTGAACTGAGCTCTGTCATACATTATTGTATATTTTGAAGGGAGTTAGGTATCCTTAAATGCCATTAAGAATTTAATATTAGTATATTGTTGTTATGTCATTAACACATTCATGAAGAATCAACCGCAATTGGCAACCGTTTTAGGACTTAGCCATGCAGTCAATTAGTCCTGAAAGTCAATAAAATTCAAAAAGTGGCTAAAAGGGATAACAAAATACCTTTTGTTTCAAATCTTTTCACCGCGAAAAAAATTTCGACACGATTTAGAGCAAAAAGACGTTTGTTTAAGCAAGAAGATATAGATTACTCAGTTGCTTTGTGAACGGAAATTCTAGCACTTTCAGTGCAAAAAKGTGAAAAAGCAATTTTGAAAAGCTATTACAAAAGTTTTGTCAGTTTTGTTTGAACCGCAGTTCTGTGTGTAAACCTCTTAGTTAACGTGAGCTGTACAAACATCATGCCAAGCAAATAATCTGTAGTTAGCAATTGGGAGAAAAATTAACATCATTTTGGTGGGCAAATTTGAAAACTTTATATTAATAATTTGCCCTCATGTACGTTGCACACCTGCCATTGTGTACATTTCATTCGTTATTGAAATAAACTCGTCAGACAGCATGTGGTAATCGAGTCCAGTATTGGCGGGAAAATGCAGCGCGCGCGCGTTCAACCTGTTTCCCGCCTTTTTAGCTTCTATTCGACTTCCGGTTAATTCGTTACTTGAATATAATTAGTTTGATATAGYTATGTAAAACTCTGGGATATATCTATTTTATTAAACGTTAGATTTTTAGAAAGGGAAAAGACTTCACGGTTTGTTGGGGTTTTATTTTCATCTATAAGGAAATTAGCTCACTGTTTATATGRSCGTTYTTTTAAGTGTATAAAGAGCTGTRGTTCTCATTAACTCTTCTATAGCCTCACAATTGCCTCAGGCAAAAACYTGAATTATGTATTCTCTACAAATACCTGTTCAATCGGTTTTACTTGAAGAAAAATTTTAAAACTTGCTAGACTTTAAGAAACCACGTCATGTTCTTGTGCTCATGTAAGTGTGTAATTTCGTGACATATACAACAATTTCAATATATCATCCCTTTTGATGTGGACATGTTATTCAAATCTAATGTTTTGACTTTACGGTGCGTCGTCAATTAGGGTAGTGATTATAGTTTGAAATTAAAAAAGGWGGGCGCAAAATTGAACTGTTTTCGCCCTAAACAAAGCCGAAAAGTGGAGAAATATTAATTTTCTAGAACAATCTACGCGTTAAACAAAAAAGATGTGTTTTAACCAATCTTTTGTTTTTTCTAATATTGAGCAACTCTTCAGTTTTAACTGTATTTTRCCCAAAAAGTTTCAATTTTCTCTTAKACATTAGTAAGCGTATAGCGTTCTTCCACCTGACCCTGCCAAAGTTACTTGCTTACGTGTTATAAGTGCTTAGCTGAAAGATTGCACAAAGAAAACGCACTCAATGCTCTGAACGCCAATATAGAGTGAACTCGGGTCGTTTCTTAGCCGTTCACTTTCGACTTTTTCAATGTGTTTCTCGGACACAAATGGCGAACATAGAAACTGAGACTTTTTTATTGTTGTTGTTGTTGCTTTTAAACACTGAAAAGAGCACATGAAACAGGAAGGTTGAACTCGGACACGAAAGGTCCTTAAACGCAGTTCATGTCGAAGTTAGTATAGGATAACTTGTAAATATTTTCATATTTCCTGTTCTCTTTTACTAATAGAACTTTGATCTTTTCTCTTAAAATGATCTTAGTATTATATAAAAATCTCAATATATTCTGTCATTTTTATAAGATATGGTTAACAAATTGCTGGTGTCATTCATATGACAAAAAGTGTCATGGAGTTTTCAACATCAGCCACGCTTATCACTGAATCAAATATTTTTTGTAATCTTATATTATGCTGTGGCTGCACTAAGTCGTCCACTCAATAGATTGTGTTGATTTTATCCACTGGAAAAGATATATATGGCGGGTAGCTAGTTCAATCTCTTTACTCCGACGAAGGATTAACGTCCGAAACGTCAGTAAGTTATTTCACCTACTTTTTTTACGGTGTTAAATTTATCTTTTTACAYAACTATTCGCTAATCGTACAGCTGGCCTATATGCGTACTGCTTGCACCATAAATCCGCTAAAGTTTCGGCCATTTTTTGAGGCTATTCTCGTAGCGTTTTTTCCACTTCTATCTGTCTTCAAATGTATTTGTTACATATCACTGTAGAGTTATTTATGGCCAACCGCTTATGGTTTCCGTGTAATTGTATTACGCCCTAGTCTTACGTGCTATACGCGTTTTAAGTGAAGCTAATCGTTTTACGTGCGTTAAAACAATTAAAATTGTTTTCATGCGATCATCGTTTTACATGAGGCGATCTTCATTTTTATCATCGTTTTACGTGCGCTCATAGGTTTACTCATTATGCCAGTCGTATTACGTGAGCTAAACGTTTTACGTTTGCRGTCAACAATAATCATTTTGCGTGTATTTATCTTTTTACTTGCGCTAATGGTTTTACGTAAGCTACTTACTGACGATGATCGTTTTACGTATGATAATCATTTTAAAACGCGTAGTMGTTTGAGATACGTTGATGTTTTACTTGCAAAGATCGATTTGCGTAAGATGTGATCGTTGTACTTGAGATGCTTGTCTTTTAAAAGACTGAGCAGAATATACGTAAGGTACAATATACGTAACGTAGCACTCTAGAGTTATATTTGTAATTTAGAGGCAYTGCGATCCAACAATGAAGAGCAATATAATCGCTGAAATCTATGTTGAAATATATTATTAAAGTATTTATAACACCTAAAGACAGTTGCTTTAGTCAATGCAAAAAAATATTTCTAAGCATTTTCTTGAATGTACCACCAGAACAGTCCTCAGGTGGTGATAATTAACCTAATGCCCTAGAGATAGCGGTTTTTCCTAACAATTGTCATTTAAGGTAATTTACTACCGTAAAGATTACGGTGCGTCAGCCTACGTAAACGTTTGTTACTACGTAAACACGTCCGTGACAATTACGCAAAAAATAAAATCAATGTCTAGCAAGTTAAATTCTTATCGTTATGAATTCTGGGGAAAAAGTACTACCCTTAGATCCACACTAAACATTTATGAAAAATTAACAGCGAAATATATTAGGCTCCCTTATCTTCTTGGTTACGACCGAAAGCTTGCATTCGATATTATTTTAGGATATTATCATTATAAATACATACAACAGTGCTCTAGTCCTTGTAYTTTACTCTGCACAAATCATTTGCCTTCCCATGTTCCCATTCGGTGTTAGAAGCCTATATGATGCAAAGCTATTTTAGTCTAAAGTTAAGGAAATGTGTTCGCTTTACAAATCTACTTTTTACCAATCTTTTCAGGYTCATCAAGTCAACGTTTTGTTGGCGCGAAGAACACCAGTCCCAAGATTTGAGTCGTGAGAATCAGCCGCAAGTGAAATTCCCAGTCAATTAGTTTTATGTTGAGTCTTTCTTGACACCAAAGGTAAGCTTTTTTAACTTATGTTAATTCTCTGTCTGTGTGAATGTTTTGTCAGATTTGAGCCTCAGGCGAACACCACCTATATACCCGATAAAACACTAATCAAAATASGAAAACAATACAAGTSKATGTTAAACTTWCCATGCGCATGTGCACTATGGTATGATTTATGGTATAATCCCACATGGAATAACMACTAGTCTGTGCAAACTTGTCTGTAAACTGATTTATAACCTAGCAAAGGTCYATGATATGATRTWAACGCTGATAAGTTACAGGTGTTKTSGTAAGTGTTTCACTTCCTTTTCCCTAACAGACGTCTGTAGTGATAATGATCTTTCTAGCAATATGTGGATGATTGAACTTACCGCTCTCAGGTGGCCGTTGTTTAAATATGGCTGTGCCTTTTTTTCCCTATAATCTGGGTTGATTCCAGGGCCGTAACCAGAACTTCTACCGGGGAGGGTGCACATGTGATAAAACCGGACTATCATTGGCCTTTTTTATTAGTAGTTGTCAACTTTTCAGTATATAAAGTCAGATCGGTTTTCAAACTTCATGAAATACACAACAGCGTATTACAACTTGTGACACTTCTTACCTTTTTTGATTATCTTTAWTATTTATGATTACACGTTATAACTACAACTTACACAAGGTCCTTCATWGATTCAGTTCGAATCCAGTTCGTTTTCAAAAAAAAAAAAATCCGGCCGATTCGTGCCGATAAATTCGGAAAAATAAATTATGTTTTTGAACTAAATTGATTTAAAATCTAGAATAAAGAACATGTAATTTCTTAAAGAACAAAGATAGATGAGCGGACCTTCAGCTTCTCTGGGGGGTGCACGTGCACCCAGTGCATCCCCCCTTTTTTACGGGCCTGTTGATATATTTCTTTAATAGTGATTTATCGGTTTGTTGTTTGGCTATGTTGTGTGATGCTCTCGATCGAGAAGATATGAGGTCTTGCTCTTGTTGAAAGATAAACTAAACCCAAACTTTTTTTATCCTATTTCATTCCATTCTATACACCGAATTGAAAAGGGAAGGAGCACTTAACATAACTATTGTCTTGAMTGACTTGCATCTCGTTCATGTATCTCTACAAAARACYTTTTTGCATWCATGACTAGCTGTTAAATCATCATTTTGACTTATCTCGCCAGTAGGCGAATGACTAGCTGTTTTAAAAGTTTTAAAAGTCAGTAAAAGTTGCTATTTTAATTGCGATTATGGCATTTTTATCCATCCCTTATTATCATATCCATTCATCCCATCCCATTATGYTTTCACAGGCTTATTGTACAAAGTAATCTCAAGCGATATCAATACGGCATGGTAGCAATTTATTAACAGTGATATGTACAACATGTWAATTTACAAGTCACCTATGCATGATATGCTGTCCGGCTGTAACAAATTATACAGTTGCTGCTCTAAACCCGTGAAAATGAAGTATAAAACGCGTTTGTATTAGTCCTAGCTATGAGTATGCCAGAGAATGGAGCTGAACTCCGTGAAACACATAAAAACAATAGAAAATTGCTGAAATACCAAATGACGAAAAGTATTTTTCACGGGTTTGTCAGGCATGTCTTAATAAATAATAAGAATAATTATTCATTATTTTCGATTCTATTTTGGCTTATTCGTAATGTAGCGAATGTGAGTGTGATGTAAATCACTTCCATGGTCCAACCCAGAATGCACCACGGCAGCTTATCCAAAGACGACAATATACCCAGAAGGCATTTTGGTGAATTATCAAGAAATTAGTGATAGTGTACAGATACCCAGGATGCATCGTAAATYTCGGCAATGTTCCCAGAATACATYTCGGCGAATTTTCAAAACAGCGGCATGGTTTAGAAACCCACAATGCATCACGACATCGTCTCATAGAAACCCAGAATGCATCATGTTTTCGTCTTAGGAGCAACGGCAATGTGTAGRATGTATCGTTGATGATATTTATAAATAATGACCAATAGTCACTATCCTTCATGGCATGATTCGTTAATACCTCTGAATCACACAATGCACTGCGTTATTCATGAACGTATTAATTCAATATTGTAGCTCACGTGACACTCTGTCATGTCTCAGTCCCAGTTTCCCAGCCGTACTCTCAGCAATGTGTACTCTTACGTGTTGGTTCAGCAAAGCTGCGTTTGGGAACGCTCGTGTGCAATAACCGCAACGAAACGGTCTTTCATTCGCATGAGATTCTACGTGGTTCCTAAACTCTACCGGATGCGTAAAACCTTGACTACAGTGCGGACAAATAAGGTTTTTTGCACTTTGAAGTCCATTACATTGATGCTCTTCCAGTTGTTCTCTCACAGCAAACGCTTTGAAACATAAATTACATCTCCATGTGAAATCCTCTTCGATTTCTACACGTACGGAATTTCTTGTCAATCCTTTATTGGTAGAGTACGAGGGACGTCCTGCACGGTATACCACTTTACGTTCGTCTTTTTTCTCTTCCATAACAACRTTCCTCTGCTCTGTTTTCGACTGTTGGTCTTTTTCTTGTGTTGGTTGTGGTCGACGTAAAGGTGGGCGCCCGCGCTGTACGTGTTCAGTAGTTTGTCGTTTTGCTGGAGGCTCACTTACTTCCGGTCGCTCACGTGATCGCTGTGCGACCAGGTCTCTTGGGGGCTGTACACCTGTTGACGATAAAAACTGTCAATCAAGCAAATTTGGSTTGGCTTAGAAMTCCTTGCAGCTCAACTAAGCTGATAACCAATCAGCCAAAAACATAACCAACTAATCAACCAACCCAAACAATTAATRATACTGCTATCCTAGTACTATTTCAAACGCACCTCTACTCCCCGAGTCGCTAAGTGCCACAGGAACCCCCATGAACTGTGAGTATCGTCCATCATACCAAACTAACAACTCTTGTCCWGCCATGATATCGCGAATTGTTCTGTAATACACGCATCCATGATACTGAAACACCACCATATTTTGCTCTTTTTTATGCCTTGCACACCGCACGAATCGCATCCAGCTGGCATTAGCCTCTTCCTTGCCGTCCAGGTAATGGCTGACTTGTCCATCATGAAARACCTGTGACGTAAGAACATAGGAATATAATAAACTCTGACTTGTACGTAAGGATGGACCTGCTCCCCTAAGCATTGGGGGTGGAGTACTGCTCTCTTAGTTGGTAAAGTCCATACTGGTCTTAACAGAAGTGGTGCTACATCCCCGTGCTACATCCCCATGTTACATCCCCATGCTACATCCCCAAGCGCTCAACAAGTATTTTGAGAGTTAGTCAAGGTCATTTTTTGCATGGAGACCGAAGTTATCTCCCTCAGTCTCATATCACCGCTATCACGACTTTTAATATATATAGATCGGCAAACATGTTTGGGCTTCCTTTAAGATGATGTTTGAAAAAGACTGGGTTTAAATCACAGGAATCCCAAACTCACCTCCCACATGTATTGCGTGTCGGTATCTTTTGTGATATCTTCGGGTCTAACGAGTTTGCCTTCGTACGGTCCAATCCACGTCCCTGCGAGAATGCGTTTCCGTGCGCACACCCCATACGTAACGCAAGGAATGCTGGATGTGCATAAACAAACTTCATCCGGGAACTTCAGGATTGTTCCGTTTTCTAGGGGACTTTGGGTGTGGCCAGTAGTGACGAGTTTGCGCAGTGAGTGTAATGGTCCATGCATTGGACATTCTCCATCATGAGTTTCATTACACAATTCACAACCTGGAATTAAACGGTATTCGTTAGCCATCACTATCGTGATAGTTATATCGTATCGATTACTGTCTTTTTGAATATCATTACTTTTTATTGAACTGTGTTATCATCATTTTTATCGACTTCATTATCGATAAGGTTTATTACAAAATACAAAAGATTATTGTATGTAATACAGTATACAGTCTAAAGGTAAYAACGCCCAAAAGCAACACGCTATTTTTCATGAACGTAATGTTGACGAAATTATAAAAAGCGATAGAATTAGCATCATTCAGCGGTATCCATATGCATGTTTCGCGCTTTAGGTGTTTATACTGTATGTATTATAACATTATTAGTCTCRCTATCTCTGGAAGGTTGATATTTCCACCGTCTATGCTATTTAGAACGGTGCATAAATTTTCGTTTGCGCGCAAATCAAACAATAGGGCCCAATAGGTTCACTGGTACCCTCGACGATCAATTAGTGTTGGAATCTTATTGTTTTGCATCAATGTGGGCGTCGAACCTGCTGTTCAGACGATTTGAATTTAGCACCAGTTTCTTAAATATTTGATAGGAAATTCGTATTTCAATAATTTTATTTCCAAATCAGAAAGTTAATCACAAAATCATCGGTATTGTGGTTTGATTGCGATAAATGCAGGACAGATGTTTCAAGTTTTAGACTATCTCTTCCGGCACAAGAGTAATTGCTGTAACTCTGTTGATTGCTGAGAAAAACTGTCTTGTCTGCGAGATTTTTGATAAATAAAAACACTCCAAGTTGCTTGACAATATGGTAACGCTTGTGCTTTCGGTTGTCAACGTTTGCCGATTTATGGCTCATGCAGTTCAAAAGTGGAAACAAGCTAGAACTGAAACTCGTTGTGGCAGTATTACCAATTTTGATAATAGCAACCTCTTCACAGTCTACGATGGACTTTATTCATGCTTAGAAAATGCAACTATATCATATTCATTAATTGCTGTTTCGGTTTTGATACAGACTGAGTATGAAGGATATTATTTGTAGGTAATTCAAAACACGCGTGTGGTATGAAAAGCAATGACTTTCTATGATCGTGATAAGAGCTGCGAGGTCATTTGTTATCAAGATGTCCATTCTAAGTGCATCTCTACGAGCAATTAAACCAATTATAGCAAGAAAATTAATGGCAATCACAATTGTGATTAAGACTCCAAAGTRGAAAGTGAAAAGRCTATTCATTGTTCTTGACGGTTGACAAGAAGAAACTGAAATATTGATGTCAAGTGATCACACGATGTGTTCAAACGGCGCGAAAGTATCATCTTTTCTTCGTATTTKACTAAGAAACGACGTTAAAAGTGTAAATCCTTAAAATGTGTTTTTTCCTTGTTGGTTGTGATATACTTGTGCGTCGGAAAAGCGCCGTCTTTTTTGGCCATTGATAATCCTGTCAAGGAACAGGTTTGACTTCGTCATGTGTCATATCACACGCTGTCATCCACCTGTTTTGAAAAACTGCCATCTTGCTTTATTTCAATATATTTGATTGATTGATAGAGCTTGAGCAACATAGTACTCTAGTTCACAAAATCAATATTTATTCATCTTCTGGTGCTGTCAGGAAACTGAAATTAAGCATCTTTCTTTTATATTGCATGACATTTCGATAGTTATGACATCTAGTATTGTCCAAAAAAAACTATTTGTATATTAAAAGTTTGGAATTTGCTTACAATAAGATGTCGGCATCTTTTGCGTGTGGGATGAAATGAACGGTTCCAAAGTGAGATGTTCGCTAGGAGATGTAGATTTGTATATGGTCTAAAGGTATAATTATGACCAACCTGCTTCAAGTTAAAACCACTCACGCATTTAAGGACTGTAAACTCATAGAAAAAATGAATTATTTGAAACATGTAAAGGCAAAATACGGGTAATGTTGATGGAAAATGCAATTCTCCCGCTGATCAAATGAAATATTTGGGGCGCGTAAATATTTACTTTGGTATATTGTTATTTTATCGGCTTATTTGAGCAATCAAGGACATCTTGGTGATCATCAAGACAATATACTATAATTTTTTCTGCGTTTTAGTTTACCGTTATAAGTTTGGTGAATTAAACATTATCTCAAAATAAAGAATAAACAATTTTTGATTCAAAGTCTTTTTGTGTTTGCTTAATTACTTCGACTTTTTAACAATTTCTCGACATTGCAACCTTGCAACGGATTTATCTCTGTCTGTGAAACTCTKTTATATTTCCTRTGAATGAAACTTAGCCTAAAAACTTAAAATAGATGATGTTTAATTCACGCTCTCATTGTGTTGTGGGCCATTTCGAATTATACTTGCATAATAAGAAAATGCGCCCCCTTGTTGGTTCGGACGCACCTTTTATCTATATTTTGGTGAGATCTCGAACCTGCTTATTTTTACAAACTTTTACCAAGTTATGTACCAGTCAAAACACATGGGAACTACAATGCCTGTAGCCTTGGAACTGTCAAAGATCTCATACATGAATTAACATAAAGATTCTGTCAAAAATGTACCACGGAAGTAGTTTCAGGAAGTCCGCCTGCACGGAAGTCAATTCAGGAAATAACGAAAAAGTTGTTGGTTTTAAGGCGGCGTTTTTACCGTGACTCTGTCCTAAACAAAATCCAAGATGAAGTTTGTCAACACAATTCCTTTACTAGTGGGACATCAATAATAGATGTCTTACAATTGATTTTTTCGTTGTTAGGATATCCACATAATCCCTTAGTAAAATACAGTCGTATTTACACCATCATCGGACAATATAGCATAAGTGGTTAACAGTGTATAGATGTGCGAAACAATGGTACTATATCCAGACTGAAGACTGTAAGCACATCGTTCAATACCACACAGTAAAAATTATAGTTTAAAAATTCAACAGGGACAGTTTTCGGCGGGTGGCCTTATTGAAATTGTAGCGTGTTACTGGCTGAGTATCTGTAAATTAAAGAACTTTACAGCATCGCAGCGAAACTTCGTCCACCACTCACTAACTTGTAGGACATTTCTTTAATTGTTTATAATTCTAATTGTTGAGATAACTGCTTTGAATTTAGAGAGTAGATAATAATAGAATTCTTCTACTTACAGTGTTTGTTCTTGTTTGCTTCGTTGTCTGTGAGCTGTGCCAGCTTTGCTCTGTCTCGTTGTAATTGTATTGGGTCCACTAGTCGAACCGGAGTATAACCATAAAGATAGTTGAATACGTCCTCGACACTCAACAAAGGTTTTACTGCTTTAGAAGTACTAGGTACGACTGTAAAATGTGCAGAAGGGCTTGTTCTTGAACGCTCTCCCATTCTATTGAATCCAATCTAGATACAGTCGTGATAATTTCCTTTCTTTTCCACCACAATTTTTCCCACTTTTTCGTCCCACAAGCGGCCGACCCTGGGAAAAGTTAGTTCCATGTTAACATTTCCACACACTTAATGCGGTGGATTATGAATTATAAATGAAATATGAATAATAAATGAATGGGAACTGCCTGAAGCAGGTGAGAGAAATCACTATCATAGCCTTGATGCAAATACTTGTTTTACTCCACTAGAATAATTTATGGTTGTGCTCACCCAAGCGTGCTCTGTCACCTGTTTSTATTCGTCAAACTTTAATTATCTGTACCATAGAAACCTTACAACTGTATCCCGTAGAATCATGAACTACGATCATCATGAAAAACTACAACTACCACAAGCCGTGTAGAGACAATACATCCATCGACTTTCACCGGAAAATGAACCTGTCAACTTCGGTAAATGACGAAAAAAAACCCTTAATTCAGGAAAAATTAATGCAATTTTTAATGTTTTGAATTGGGATAGATGTCTTTGATCGGTTATTACTTGTAGCACATGAAATGAGTTGTTTTTTGATGTTATTATGATTATGATAATAATTGATTCGTTCGTCAAAAAATAATCTTTATTCTACTTTTGAATTGAGAATCGTAGGGCCATATATTTGACAAGTAATTTAAAAAAAACTGTCAAGAATTCTTCGTGGGACCGCCAAGCTTATGACTGATAATTAATAAGTTTTTTCTTTCGCGCACTTGTCTCTTTGCGCCTGTCTATCCCCSATGTCAAACCCAAGGCAGTGATTTCGACAAGAGAGTAAATTCCTGCTTTTACACAGGCACAAATACAGCTTCGCGACTACTCATTCAAATATGGGCAATTTTCCTTGTMAAAAAAAATTAATTTTTTCAACTATTATGAATAGGGGGTCCCGGAAATAAGACTATGTAATTGACATCTACAAGACGAATATATTTCATCGAAATAGATTTCACAAAAAGCTGAAACGGTGACGATCGAGTAGTTTTGATATCTGTAAAAACTATCATGAAATGATAAATCTATTCCTTAAATTGTYCCAAAATTGAAATCCCAATCTSATATTTAAATGCAAAACTAACGCCGTTATTACCTCTTGATGGCACGATTTTAGTTTGTCGCAATATCGCCGATGAGGCTTTAACTACTTTAAAATGGAGCTTGAAATAGCACCGCCGCTAAATAGAGGATACACCGTACATTGTTGACAAGTTTTGTATACTGACCTTGGATCGATAGAAAGAAAAGATATACGTCTCGCCGACAAGCGAAAGCCGCTTCCTTATCCCTGTTGTKCTGGCTGGTTTTTGAATTTTCCAGGTCGTTTTCCGAGATTGYCTTTAAGTTTAGATTATCCTCTTTATTTTGGGGATTTAGTTTTTCCGAGAGAAGTCGCCACACGTGTTTCTTATGTTATTCCCTTTGACTTCATCACGTGGTATATGCTTGCTAGTGATTGGTTRAKCCGTGGCGGGAATACTCCTCATCGAATTAATCAAGACACAACAAAAGAAATGTCTYAAACCGCTCGTGGTTGTAAAAATAAACAAAGATTTGAAGTGTATCACAGTGTATTTTGTTATTTAAGATAGGAAACAGCTTAAAAAACCATGGTATTGCCAGGGGTTTTGCGACTCCAACGATTTTGAAACACTATGAGACTGACATGAAGGGATGAATAATTTAGCATCAGTAGAGTAAAGTGTAAAAGAGATTTCTATCAAAATGAAATTTCAATAATTAATCGCCCACTGCCAATATATAGTTTTCATTGTTTGGTAATGCGCCGATTAAATATGAATGAGCTGGACTTTCATGTCAATTTAACGTCATGAAAATTTAATGTCTTGGCATTTTATGGAACGAAAAACTCGCCAATTAACTTCGTTTTCTCAAGTTGATATTACTGAAAAAAATGCAGTTCTGTCAACACTCAAATAMAGCGACTTTTAAAAGATACATGTATCACTTCACACTTGAGGACATTCTCAAGATTTCYCTTGGCAGCTTTATGGTATCTTTTTGTACTTRSGAGCCCTATATTAGTAGAAATTGTAAAGTCGGCGAAGAACGGTTTGTCGGAGGATTCAAAGACTTGTACTCTCTCGCCTACATTCCTTGCATTCTTACAAAAGTTCAAAAAACTTAGTTTAAACATCCATTGTTTAGTAAAACACTTGGAGTTTATCGTCAACGTTATCAAGGATTCAAGAAAACCGCATTAAAAAACCCTCCCTTCTCACACCACCTATTACATTTACACTAGGTTCGTAAGTGGAAGAATCCCTGGCATAGATCCATATTATCAACCCTACTCACCTTAAAAACCCAATGATTTAAATACAGGCCTTTAAGATATCTGAAGGGATTTCCAACGCTGTTCAGGGTGTAAATATATTGCTTGAGGCTGAGCTGGCCAATGGATGAGAAGACGATGTTGTCTATTGGAACTCTGCTGGTGGTACAATGAAAATTTGATGAGTTTCGGTTAAGCATCTGTAGGAGGGTGGTCGGTAGCACGAACAAGTAGTTTCCTTTAAACAGAGAATTTACAGGTACGACTAAAAGTTCAATTTCAAAAAATATAACAACTTGAAAAATTAAAAATTCTTTCAGCACATGGTGCAGTTGTGTGTTAAACATTTATCCTAAGTTGTTTAGTTATTGGAGCCGGACAAGTCTCATGTAGAATTTATCACTGTCTTTCTGCCCTAATTGTCTTTGGTGGAATCATTAAGACAGATTTGCTACAGCGTTTTGAATAGCCAGCCCATAACCTGTACATTTATTAATTTAACAAATTATGGAACAAGAACAAGAATCGATTATGAAAGATGGTTGATTTTTAGGACCCTTTTATTTACCCCCCACGATCTGGCAATAACTTCTTTGAAAGGGAAATGCTACAGTAAAGGAATAATTAATTTCTACTGACGTTGACAAGCAGCATTCGTAGGCTTGTCAAAATCTTATCTTTCCGCTTGAAAGGCTTTTCAATAGCCATGAAATTACTTCCTTGTTCGATTTCCTCGAGCGCGGCCGATCAAGTATTCCAAAACCCCACTCAAGTGACAAATAGAACGTTTGATCGTTTTAAACCCAGTAAACGGGGTATATAAAATGTAAATTGTTTATTGTTTTCGCACAATGTATTGCTACCATGACGTCTTTAGCCACAAACCTCTCTGTTGAATTTTTAACACTCGGTTTCATTACAGTTGATGTGTCGGGGATATCCGACCTCATTCTGCTGCCTTGTTGGACAAGTGTTCATTCTGTCACTCATCCGTGATTGATTTAACACAGCTGATAGCAAACCAAAGGTTTTTGACATCTTGTAACGCTTTTAAAGTCTTACTTGACAAATTGATTCCCATGGGTTGGTTATTTGATTAATTGATGAGCCTTGTAATTGCCCAATTCCCTATTTATTCAGCACGAACCATAGAACCATCAACCAATTCTCACAACGACATACACCACATTTGTTTTTAATTTATTTTCTGTGTTGTTATTTTAATTGTTGGGGTTTTATTTTTTTTTCTCCCTAACACCATTCAGTTTTTATATAGGGCTGTGATTTATGTTAGTGTCTGTAGTGTAATCTCCCCTAAGGAGGGAGGACACGGGTGTTTTTCTAACAATTTTCTCAAAGAACTGCCGTATGGAGGACAGAGGCTAATTTCTATTCTATTGTAGTTAGGGAGGGATAGAAATGGTTTCCTGATCGAATGCCTTCCGAGTACGTTATCTGGTCCTTGGTTAATTTGACCATGGGGTCGAATGGCTGGGATATATTTGATCTACTGAATATTGTCCCCTGAGGTTATAGGACACGTTATATTTGGACCACCCACTTACCGCCCTACCATTGAGTAGTAAGGGCGCCGGTCGACCTTGGAATCTATTTTGAGGATATATTTAATGGTTGAAGAACTTCTTATTGTTATTCATTATCTATATTTTTTCATTCGTAGAGCGGAAATCTAATCAAATATAATACAAATCTCTGTATTACCCTTACCTAATCAAATGAAGTAGAATGTCCAATAAAAATACATAGGCTAGCTTTATCACAATATTGGAAAAAGTCAACAGATTAAGTTTCGTTTAAGTTGGGATTTTTTTAAATTCCTGTTTTATATTACGATCAAGTCGTGTTTCATTGGACTGTTAATGGACTCGTCTTCGTTGGATTTTAAATTGATGACTTTAGAACTCGTCCAAACAGATTTGTTTTCGTAGCGTTTCAGCATTGTCTTGAGCACTTAGAACAATGCAAGAAACGCTACGTTAACTGTGTAGTTACAACACCTCCCTCGTCGACAACGTCTCAATATTTCAGACACTTCAGTATGACAGACACCTCCATATGAAGAGAATTCGACTGGACAAAGTAAGGTGAATGTCCCAAAAGTAGAACAGTAACAACTAGAATTTAATATATGGACTTTTGATAAGGCTTTTCCGCAATATAATTTTCAATACTGGACCGAACATAAGTTAAAGATGGACAATGAGAATCAAGTGACGTGATAACATACCTCTTCAAAGTTCATGCGTCTAACACGAGCTGGAATGTCCACACGCACGCTGCTCCTAAGGTACCCAGCATGCTTTGGTGTCATTCTAATCTACGACGCCGCAGTCTAGATTTTTTTGACTCGCACAGCCTCCCATCCTGATATAAAGACTTGTTACGAAGGCCACCATCATGGACAGCACCTATTTCCATGAATCCTCGTTATGCTTCACCAGCTTATTGGCGTTGCTGAAGGCCACAAGAAGGCACCAATGCAAGAGCAGGACTATCCGGCATCCAGTTTTATCAATTCTGCCGGACCCTCTTCCTGTGTGGGCCCAAAGAACATGACGTCCACAACCCGAGAGGATTACATGGCCCCCATTTCATCGACAAACATCACAAAATTCATGAACTTAGGATGAAATGTTTTGGATGTGTGTTCAGTGGATCTGATCATTTTAAGGTGACAAGTTACCGGTATCCCTGTCTATCACCGATTTGATTAACACCTTACCACCTGCAGTAGCACGGGTGTACAACAGGTTTTTTTAAGTGCTTCCTCAAATCATAGATCTCTGAAATATCAACTAAAAAACTAATAAACAAACACTATTGAAAGCCATGGGGAAATCTATAGTGGTCTTTGGTTACACTTAGAAGAAAACTGGCAATGGATTGAACACGAAGGTTTGTGAAGAAAATCTTCTACTTGTGTTCCTTAGTAATTATAAACAGTTTCTCTGATGGTTATAACCTTTGGTGTTTTCACCAGAAAATGAAGGTGATTTAGGTGAAAAGCTTAGTCCATTGGAATTAGTTTAGAGTATTTTTCTAGGTTTGTAGCGGCTATTAAGATTGGTGTACATCACGTTGTGTTCTTGAGAGCGTTGAAAGGATCACCTTCGGTGTCTGATCTCTCGTTCTTGCGTAACAAGCGCTTAATATTAAACCTTTTAAAGCTCTTTAATGTTGTTAAAGGGCGATGTTTTTAAGACCAATTGCGCTTGTGTGGAAGCCTCAACAAGGTGAATCTCTGATCATTGCATGGACGCTGAAGGAATTTCTCAGAGCTGCTGAGAAGCATATTCTTAGAAACTTGATTACAATAGCTGTTAGTGATTTCTTCTGCTTGTAGGAGTATTAAACATAACTACAATGGTCTTTGTTCCTTATTTCCCTTGTTAAAGATAGTCATTAAACATACGAGAATACACATCCATATTCGTAATTCATAGTCGCGGATACGTTATTAACCGTGAGGCACCTTTTTTCAGATATGGGCATGAGATTAGTAGAGTATTGTACCTTGGTCGTGTTCATTCTGTGTGCTCATTCCCAGGAAATACAAAATAATGGTAAGTACTATGGATAAAAAAAGACATTGTATTGTACACACTATAAAGGGAAATCAAACGTTGGTGCTTCTTCTGAGAAAAAGGTGAAAATTGATCAGTTTTCAGTTTTCTTTTTTTTTTTTCACAATGTACCATTTCATGAATTACCTCATTACCTTATGATAGTCAAAGAATTCAAATCTATTATTTTCTCAGGGAAGTAGCAAGCATCAAACCATCTTCCCCTCCACAATACTAAAGTTCCTGTATCTTATTTCAGCTGGGGAGATCTGGTCCGAGTGCAGTCTCACGTGTGGTAGTGGCTTACAGTACAAGCTGAATGACAATCAAATCACAAGACTTTGTAACACCATGGAGTGTCCTGGCGACGCTGGCTGTCTTTCAGCATACCTCAGCTTTGAACACGTGAATAATAAATTAATTTTCGACGAATCAAAGAATGGTAACCTTGCAACAATGTTAGGAACGGCCCAAATCGTTGACAAAGGCAAATTTGGTAAAGCATTGAAGTTGTCCGACGGAGGAAGCGTTTCATTTGATGTTGCGAAATTCAAAAATCGTCCAAGTTTGGCGATAACTATTGCATTGTGGGTAAAACTGGAGGACATTAAGGGATTCCAAGAGATATTTTTTACATGTGGAAAACCGCATCTTTATAACGTGGGCGCATATCACCTCGGAGTTAACGACGGTACGATCACGTGGTCTTTGAAAGATGGCGACGAGAAAGAACTATTTAGTCTTACCTCAGGTACGATACTTACTGGTTGAGTAAATGGTTGAGTAGTTCGTTGGTTGTTTGCTTGAGTGTTTGGTTACTTGCCTAGTTCATAGGGTGCCGGGTTGAGTGTTTTGGTTGGTAGGTTTGTTGGTTGATCAGTTAGTTGGATGGTTGCTTGGTTCAGTAGTTAGTTGGTTGTTTGGTTGAGTAGTTGGTTTGTTAGTTGGTTGATTAGTTAGTTGGTTGATTAGTTAGTTGG